CCCGGGGAACACTGACGACGAAATTACGAGTACGAGGAACCCGAAGCTCTAGAAGGTTCCCTTTTTTTTTTTTTTTTTCTTTTTTAGATTTCCGACATGAACCAACAATAAGGTTGCGGGTACGGGGTATACAATGTGCGGCACACCTACATGACAAGCCGCCCGGATCGCTCGTATAAGGGTTGAGTATCAAGGGCATCTGAGATTAAATTATAACCTGACAAAACGCCTGGTTGCCTCACACCGCAAGCCATGAATATCGAATCCCTTCCTAAAGGGGTGGTGGGAAGGAAGGTTAGGGACCTTTGGATAGTGGGACGATAGCCGTGGTTATTGATTAGGACGACCGCATATCTAACAGTACTAAAGCTTACACATAACGCGAATCGCAGTTCCGTATTCGATATCGCATGACGGCGGTTGCAGTGTACCGGACTAGATACTAGACATTCTACGGTCCTGTGGCTGAACGCTCTGTTGTCAACTCTCTTCGGTGACATTGACGCCGGCTATCGATTTCGATCAGGAATTGATCATGAACCTTGATGACTTTTCAAACCCGGTACTACTTGGCTGTGTGAAGTGACCTTCTGGGTGAAAAGAGTATCACAGCCGCCCACCCATCATAATTCTCATCAGACATAGTGAGGGACGAAATATGCAAAGGGAAAGAGACATGGTATTAGTATTATCAATCCATTATCAACCCCATCACCCACAGCCATACGCCGGCACATCGACTCTCAATAAGGGGGATATCATTATGCATAAATATATAAGCGTTAGAATAGCCCAACTAAACCCACTCATCAACACCGTAAACCAGGTAAAGCCAAACAGGAAGGCTTCACTCATCATCCGCGTCATCCTCGATAAGACCAAGTTTACCTAACGTATCCAGGAAGCTCTGGGCTGCACTCCGCAACGCAAGCAGGGGAGATTGCTCGAGTTGAGCAGCCACTGCGGGTTCCACCTCGACTTCCTGGGGTTGGTGCCCGCCTCGGCGGGTGAAGTAGTATTTGCCCTGGTGACAAGACCAGTTCTCGTAGATGTAGGACTGTAGCTCGCGGGTTGCACCATGGCGGAGCTCAGGGAAGAAAGACGGGGTTGTGGGGGCCGCTGGGTATGAAGTGAAGGCTGCGGCGTGCTGCGTGAAGTCCCCGCCACCAGGGGGGATGGCTGCGGGAAGGTGAGGTTGTTCTTCGATTCTTTCAGGGGAAATGGAGAGGGCGACGAGGGCAAGCTGGCGGAAGGCCCGCAGCTGGAGGAGGATATTATCGCTGGCTGCTCGGTGGTCTGTGGTGCCGCGGTCGATGTAGTCCACAATGGGCAAGGCGGACGTAATCATGTCCCAGAACGAGGCGGCACTGGTCGCTGCGGCTGGATCGGTAAGCAGGTTGACGTTCCGGAATAGAGGAAGCTGCAATGCACGATAGGATGGTCCAAAAACGCAGGCAAACATATTCAAGACCGACCCCACGCACGCAGCATCTGTGGAATCGAAGGTGAACAGAAGCTCCTTGAAGACAAGGCGGATGGTATGCACAATCGGCCGGCTTAGGACCCACGCCGCCCGACTGCTGAACGCTGTCTCGAGGTAAGCAGGAAACACAGCCTGCAGCATTGTCGACCTCAGCGTGGGCTTGTCCGGGCTGCCGCTCTCATAGGTCTCGCTCATCGAGGAATGCAACTGGTTGACGAGATAATCCTGTTGGCCATCTATGGCCGCCCGCTCCGAGACGCTCTGGACGAACACCACTAGCGTTTTCGCCCCACTCTCGACTGGGACCTTGGGCTCATAACTCTTCAATCTGGCGACGATGTAGGTTGGGTCCGTGGACGGCAGCGGGAAGGAAGCAGGGTCGATGAAAAACGGATCAATAGGACAGATTTGTCTGCTGTGTTGCTGCAGGAACCCTACAACTCGATGGACGAGATCAACGTAGGCCCCCTGGACGCTCTGGGTGCCATTTCCTAGCTCCTGATAATTGGCCTTCATCGATGACATCATTCTCTGGATTGCCTCCGCGTATTCCTGCTTTGTGCTCGAATATTCGCGTGCGCCCGCGTCTTCAAGGTCTTGGAGGTGCGAACGCATGTTGGACAAGAGACTGGATATCAGCGACAACCGACGCTGGCTAATGTCCTCCAAGCTGAGCGAATATCGTCCCTGCTTGCGGTCAATGGCAAATGGCAGGTTCTGCAACACGGGATCAGCCTCCTCGTGATTCAATAACGCCTCCGTCAAGCGGTGTTGGTATTTCAACAGAGCGACCCTCTCAACCAAGCTGGCCATCCACATGCCAAGGATCTGGACTTTACAGTCCACGATGCACCGAGCGTCTTTCTCGATGCAGCTTGCTAAGAAAAAGGGTGTAAACTTTCTTGTCTGCATAGTTGATCGAAGCGCTGCCCACGAATCGCCATTGTAAGGAGTCAGGTAGCTGTCCCAATGTCGCAGTCCGTGCTTAACAAGTGTTTGTGCGATGGAGGTCCAACATTCGACAGCACTGAGAAGGATTGCATCCTCGGGACAATAGTCCTCACCAAAGCAGTTGGAGACAAGTCGGGACACAGCGGGGTGGAGAGTCTGCTCCACATACTCGATCTCAGGTGGTGCGGTAGTAGTCATTGCCCCGCATACAGCTTCAATGTCGGTCCAATCCCCATACTCTTGGCTATCTTCGTCCAGCACGACGGGTGGCCCTGCTGTTCCTGGGGCCTGCGCTTGAGAAGCGTTGCATTTCTCAAGATAGGCAAGAATCACCAGGAGAGACTCAGTGACAATGATGTTAACGCGAGCAAGCTGGGGATTAAAAAGCCCTAGTAGCGCTTTCACGGGCATTTTTGAAACTAGCTTTTGAGCATGCTGTAATGTCGGTGCTGCCTTGACGGCACTTTTTAGGTTGCTCAGAGCTGTCTTCAGCAACGATTCAATTTGTCGCTGATTCTGTGCTATCGTTTTCTCAACCAATTGATCAGAAAACTTATTAGCAACTGTATTCTGGGCTTCAACCTCTTGCCGAGCCATTGCATGCTGCTTCAATAGCTCAGTCACAAAGTAACAGTGCCAGTCCGCAAATGGCTCAAGCCCCGAGACTTCTTCGTCAGCCGACAGCTTGAAGCGAACCAGTCGATCCCAGGAACGAAGACTGATATTGCAGGTTTCCCTATGAGAGCTTGCAGGGTGAACCAGATCCCGAATGGTTTCCAACCGAGGCCGGCATCCGTCAGGAACTGCATAGTACAGCGTGCAAAGCAGGTCGTGATGGTTTCTCAAGGCATCCAAGTCGGTCTGCTGGATGGGCTTTTCCTTAGGGTACATCCGTCCATGGTTCGGCAACAGGCGCCAGGCGAAATTCCGCACTTTCTTCTTATCGTAGGACTTCGACAACGACTTCAATCCACTTGCAATGATCTTGAGCAAAATATGGAAGCATGGCTCGCCAGGCTGCACGTGCAACGAAGGATTGCGGTCCAGTTCATTAAGAAAAGATGGGGACTTGTAGCTCTCTTCTTGCCTCAGATTGTACAGCGTATTCTTGGCGAAGAAATCGTATAGAGTATCCAGGACTTGCTTGCAATCCCGCCAGCCCCAGCCATTGATCAGGTGAAAGCACCTATGAAACAAAGCCCGGCAGTAAATGTAATATAAGACAGGCTGTCCGACAGAACTGGCTTCATAGCTTTCAAGCGCCGGACGTAGCAGCATTTTGATCACGGGCCAGTTGTCCTGCTGTTCACGGAATCGGGAGCCAATTTGGGCAATGCCGCGAACATCGAATTCATTCAGAGGCAAGGATGTGAATACGTTTCGCCACGCAGTTTCCAGCTGAGAGACATTTTTGGAGTTGCTCACGTCGCCCTCGTCAGCTAGTGTGTAGGCCTGGGTTAGCAGGTCCTCGAAATAACCTTTCATACTCTCATTGCTGCGCAGCACATGTCGAACAGTGACATACGCTTGAAGGGAAGATCTGCCGCTGCGAATGCCTCTTTCACGAGCCTCAGTAGACTCCAGATCTTGAAGGTGCTTGCGAATACTGGATTGCCCCAATTCGCTTGCGATAACAGCAATGGTCAGCTTCGACGACAGCTTCAATGAAGTCACAACCTCGTCAGCAACGCTGCCTTCCACAAGTTCGTGTCCTGCAATCTGAAGCAGCATGTTCACGAATACAGTGTTATAAGCAGAGATTGTCAGGAGGTGATCCATCTCCGGCTCCGTTGTCGGGACCAGCGTCGCTAAAGTGTCATTGACCTTGGAAACAAGGCTATGTGCTCGCCTCACGAACCCCGTTCGATCGATCGGATCGATGAAGGATAGGATGTCTGTGACGTATTTGACCAAGGACCGGTACACCATACACCCTTGCTTGTCGACACTTCCAGTGAGAGACTGTGCTGGACCCTCGACCGGTCTGTCCAGTTCCTCAACAATTTTGTCGAAAGCAAGTCCGAGACCGGAGGAAACGGCATCATTCCAAGCACCCCAACGGTGACGTTCGTCTTCAAGATGCAAAGTGAAAAATCCAGCGTCATTGTCGAGGTTTCTGGTGAGAATCTTCAGCGAGCGACAAAACTCCCCGCTCCCAATAAAGGTTGACTCATGAAAGAACGTTCCTGATACCAACGGAGTAATGTTGAAGTCAATGGGATACGTTCGCTGCAACCCTTCAAGAGCCCCGACGGGGCAGCTAGAAGGCTGTGGTTCCTCCGATGCCCAATGCGAGTCTGACATTGTGATTGTCTCTTGGTGAAGGGGCTCCTGTTCTTGGATCGTATTGATTTCCAACCGTCTTGGTGGACGCTTCTTCACCTGACGACTTTGTAACCGGGTCTGTACCAAGGGGCGTCTGGCGCTCGATTTGTCAACCATCTGAGCCGTAGCGGGCTGATTTGATTTCTCAGCCGGAACAGGCGTCGAACTGCGACTCGCGATGAATCTATCCATGACCACGTTATCACGCCTGATCCGAGGAAGGCTTTTGCCGCGGTAGTCTCGGTTCAACTGCGATAGTGATCGTTGGAACGACACTGGGGACACAGGTCGACCGGCTGGGTTCACCTCTTCGAGCATCGCAGGCCTAAAGCCATTTCTCGTAAGAGAGGTGACTGCGAAGTTTCTTTTGACAATCCATCTATTACTTGGCTGCTCCGGTTTACCGGTTTCACGAGATACTTGGTCATCATTTGGCCTTTGAGGCGGAATGGTTGAATTCTGATCAGGAGGGTGGTCCTCAACGCGAACACCATGCTCTCGGGAGTCTCTAGACAGGTATGATGACATCAGAGAAGAAGCCAGGGTCCTTACAGGCGCTCGACCTTCATTAATGCCGACACGATCTTGTGTCTTAGCATGGCCTTCTCGCGTGGTCTGTTGCTTGAACGGTTTGGTTTGAATTCGAGGCAGTCGGGTTTGTCGAAAATTACCTGCTCGCCATTGATGCAACGATGCATTCGCATCTTCGGTATCTGCGTGTGAATTAAACTTGAAAACCTTGCGAGACGGACTTCTCCTTCCCTTATCCTGGCGAGTACGCGCCTTGCGTGCGGCGACCCTGAGAAACTGTGGCTGTTCGCTTCGAGGTCGAAAAGCAACATCTGGTGCATCCAAAACACCAAGCTTGGGTAGAGCTGGCGCTCTTCGTTTCTCTTGTTTCTGTGTCCGATAAATGCGATCCGTTAGCCTTGCTTGTCTCCTGATATGAGATCTTTTGGAGACAAGACTAGAAGAAACAGCATTTGTTCTGACGGTTGTCTTTTTCTTCCCTTGCTTTCGAGCTTTCAATCCTGATGTAGAACGAGGGACTGGGGGAAACATTTCATCGATCCGGTTGTCTTCTGGGATGTCGTCATCCATATCCTCATACAGTGATGGATACTCGTCGCCTTGTCGAGCCACCTGCGGACGTGAAATGGATTCCTCGTCGGCCTCTTTGGCTTCTCGTCCGTCCTCGCTATCAGAGTCGGCAAGCTGTCGCAGTGCGTCTATCGAACCCGGCAGTCTAGCATTGCCGCCATGTTTCAGCACTCGCCTAGCAACACCCTTCGTCTCGCCCGTTTTCGCAGACATCTTTTCATTGCTCCGCTGCGTTGAGCCAAACTGCACCTCCTTCTGCTTTTGCTGATCCAATCGCAGCCATGATGCCGGAAGGACTCCCTTAATACGTCGCTGATAACGCCGCCGTATTGCAGCTTCATCCTCATCTGTCTTTTCGCCGTCAGTCTCCTCCCGCTCCTCTTCGCTACTAGCCTGCGACCCTTCCTCGACCAGAGGACTGGGAGCGGCCTCGAGATGCCCATCATCCATACTACCTTCAATTTCAGGCGCAGACCAGTCCATGACATCTCGATCGGTGGTCGCAGCTCGTGGCCCAGTACTAGGAGTATTCAAAGCAGGCGTGTAGCCTTTAGGGAATCGAAATGTGGTGGAAGGTTCCACATCAGACGGATCGTCGTCCTCAGAGCGAGGTGGGCTAGGGATATCGAAGATAGGCTTAACTGCTTGGCGAGCGGGGGATGAGCCGTTGTCGATGACGACCTGTAACCGGGCCTGAGTCTCAGTCCGAGGAGTTTGTTGAGGATTTGCAATTTTGGACACCTTTCGCCTCTTTATGGTAGGACCCGGGAGCCGGTTAGTAGACTGAGCTCGTGGTGCCTGATGGTGTTGACGCTCGGGAGATGATTCGATTGATCTTTTCTTTAAAGTAAGTCGGGTCTCGGGCGGAGATGACGGCAGATACTCAAATTCAGCTCCCAGACTATCGGACATTGGCTCTGGTTGATCGACATAGTCCTGGTTCTGACTTTCTTGAGCACCCGAACGATTGATTTCCTGCTGGGCCACGCGCACTGGTTTGACTCCTCGAGCTCGCATAAGATTGCGATATTTCACGTCTTCCAGCATGTAAGGATGCAATTGGATAGCCTTGCGCTCTCGCAAAGATCTCCGCGCGGGTTGGGAAAGCTCACGAAGCAGCTCTTCAGGAATGTCCAGCGGCGGGAGCTCCTGTGCCGATTCTTGTTCCATCAAGTCTTGCTCGGTCATATTGCGCTCCATAAGCGTCTGCATCGTCGGCCATTGCTCCTCTGTGTCCTTTTCCGTTGCGACTGGCTCCGTGAAGTCCTTCTCCATGACATCCTGTTTCGTAGCATGTTGTTCCGGCAAGTCCTCCCCTGGCATATCCAACTCCATCAAATCCTCCGGCGCTGTCTGACGACTCGAAGCTTCCTCTTCCTGCTGCGTCAGATCATTGTCTGCAGCATTGTTCCCTTGGTCCTCCTCATCTTCAAAGTCCAGGCGCAGGGAATCAAGCGACGATAGAGGCGACGACGGCGTGGAAGAGTCATAATTCTCCTCCGCTGGTTGTGATTGACGAACACTCTTGACACGCGTATAGACCCGGACCGGTTTTCGAGGTCGCATATACTCAAACTGCAGTTCGTCCTCTGAACTAGAATCATCCCGGGTATCTGCTTTCCCCTTTGCCCTGGGGGTCGATGAGGCGCTGCGTGGAGCATCTCCCAGGACTTTGTCCACCTCAGCCAATATCCCACCCGCTCGAGGGGTGGTCTCATCTACCGACTGTTCCCTAGGTCGCTCTTCGTATGCGTTGTTGGTCCGTACCGTCGATTCGTCCGTGGGGAGAATGTGCATAGGACCTTCTTCAACGCCGAAGTCGAGCGTAGAAGGATGGGCTGGATCGCGTCCGTTCACACTCTGCAATGGATCAGTGCCTCTTCCCTCCGCTCCAGCGACCCGTGTGTTGGTTGTGACATCTTTGACCACCACCGCCGCAGCAGCCGCCGAGCTTTCGACCGCCCGCTCGTCATCCTTGCGGGAATTGAGCGTCTCCTGGCTGTCGAACCCGTCCTCCGAGTCTGAGTCCGGTACAAAGCCTCGCTCCCGCCATGATTCCATTAGTATTCCTGGCACGGATGGCCCATCTCCCTAACTATCCATCCCGTGGCGACGAATCTGTGGTGGCGGTGGTGGTGGTGGAATTGGAAGGAGGTGGGCGCGTGTTAACGCGGACAAAAGGCGCGGACGGCAACAGCAAATTTTTCGCGGCAGTGATAATTTGCAAATGGTAGTATTTATGAGGGCGAGTAGAATTGCGTAGGGAGTGATGATACAAGCTCTTGCACGACCTTCTAGACCGTGTGCAATGAATGGATGGTGGGTTTGTTCTCTGAGGGACGGAGCTACCGTAGGCTTTGACGCGTCAAAGGAATTGTGGAGGGGCGGAAGACGCGCCTCAATTAGGCGATGCGGCCTTAATTTCGGGGCAGCCGGTGGCCCGGCTTACCCGCTCTCTGCCTGCTAAACTATCCTCGGTGGCTTCCCAACTCGGGTATATACAGGATGACCTCATTTTCGCTTCAATCTGACTGTAGTTTGAGAAAGTTGGGACTCGCGATTACATGAATGTCGACAACATAGCTTTCATCTTTTTTTCAATTTCATTCTGTTTCTCTGATCCACCTCAGACCTGCGAGCATTCCTGTAAAAATGAGAGTTCGAATGGTGCACTTTCAGCTCTGTTGCTATTTATATATCGAATTTGATTCTAGGAATGAACTCACTACACCACCAATCACCTACCAATCCAAATCCCTATGGGTATCCGAACAGGACTTCTGATCTCTCGACCAATCGTACATCTCACCCCTCGAGATGAAGTTCTTGTCGTCCCAATAGACACTCTCAAGTGCCCTTTGCACCCCGACTTCCAGTATTGAAGGTAACGGCTCGCGACCGTCTCGATCCAAGAAGCGCAAATACTCATCAAGAATCAAATATGACTTGGCCATGAGCGCATTCGACTACAGTACAAATGCCCTCTGTCCGCGATGGACATCACAGAAATGAGCAAACTCCGCGTCCCGGATCAAGAACCTGCGCGCATCGCGAAGCCGCCGTTCTGAGTCATTCTCCCCCGGGACTACTAGAACCTGGAAGCACTTCCAGCGGAACGGCTGCAGCTCCTCAATGAACCGATTCATATCCTCGTTGAAGTTGAGCCGGCAGACGACGGTGTTGATCTTGAACTTGATTCCGTACGCCCGGCAGAGGTCCCGGATCTCGTAGAGCTTGGTGACCTGGGTGCCGGAGCCACGGCCGATGGCGATGTTGACCGACTCGTTGAACGAGTCGCACGAGACGGCCAGGATGTCGATGTTGCATCCGTGTCGGGCAAGGAACCGCTCCGTTACTTGGCTCCCGTTGGTGACGATGGAGACAGATTCCAAGTGGAGGGTCTCCTTGCAGTAGTCGACCATCTGGCCCAGTTTAGCCGGGTAGAGGAAGGGCTCGCCGCCGGCGAAGTTCATTTTCCGCATACCTGCGTCTTTGAGGACGGTGAGGACCCGCTTCATGTTTGCGAGGGACTCGATGTGCGAGGAAGACGCGGTGTGGAAACAGAAGCCGCAGGCCTTGTTGCACCGTCGGGTGAAGTGGTAATTCACGGATACCGGACATTTTGAGGGCTTTGAAGGGTTGGGAGTCACCAAAAAGCTCCGCAAAGTCAGGTATTTGGTAAGAGCCAGAATCCATGACAGTAGGAAGACCAACGAGCACATATTGTTCGTGTGCAGAACAATGAATAATTCCGGAAGATTCCCAACGCAGCGACAACAAAATGAAGGCAACGCAGTGAATGAGGTCCACTGATCTTATGTATATTTCCCCAATGGAAGAGGTAGATGACCGTTTCTTACTACTCTGGGGCAAATAGCTTCTTGTTCCCAGAAACACGAAGTCAAGAACTTTGTCCGATACAGGATACCATCAAAAAACTGGTCAACCCATCATCAGCTCACAAAACCGTATTTCCCGAAGTTGAGGATAGCAAGTTTAACCCGTGGCCTGTTTTACACCACGCTCAACATCGATCAATTTATACCACCATGAGCACCCCGAACCAGCCACGCAACGTCTACCTCGTCGGAGCCCATTGTACAGGGAAGACCACCCTTGTCGAGGGCCTCCGCGCACACCTATCGACCAATCTGGTCTCGGAGCTGTATGGGGAGAATGCCGAATGCCCCGCGATCGTTGACGAGCTTGTCCGGAACATCATGCGCACGGACGGCTTCACTGCAAGTGATGTCAGACTTCCCACTAAGGGGCTGGAGCTTCAGAAACGCACCATACTAGCTCAGCATCAAGCTGAGGTGAGTCTCGGAAACAAATGGTTTATCTCAGATAGATCTGGAATCGATCCTAACGTATACGCTGAGGTCTTTCTGGGACGACCAGAGGCTGAGAAGCTGGCAGAAATGAAGGAATGGCACGTCCTGCGGGAGAAGATGAAGGCGTATGTCATCGTTTGCGAGCCTGAGAACGCGAGCTGGCTATCGACCGATCGGGTCCGCGTGGCGTGTAACGATGTTGAAGAGTGGCGTTCAATTGCCAGAGCTTTCCGGACTGCACTGCAGAATCATGGAATCCCCCATGTGACTATTCCGGTTGGAATGGAAGACCTGGGAAAACGAGTGCAGTTTGTGGAGGAGCTTCTCAGGTCTTCTGCCAAATCAGGGATGTTTTAGCCGTGAGACCAGAGAATCAGCCTAGATTGCCTCCTTGCCTGTTTCTCCCTCAAGAGGTCCGCTGCATGCTACACAGTCAGAATGGTGAGCCTTGCAAAGCTGTAGGATACTCATGTTTATTACGAGCTGATGGTGATCCAGGTCAACCATGATTCTATCTCGAGACTACAACTTAGGCGCCACGACACGTTCTCTCAGAACGAAGCACATCTATTTTGATTGGGGAAATCCAGGATGGGCATCATGTTGTACCACAAAGCATAGAGAGGAGATCGTATTATTGGACAACACCGCAAAGCTCACATACTCTGTACTCTAGACAAGCCTGAACACAAAGCCCATGAAACAGAAGACATCCCAAGATCCAACTTCCAGCGCCCCAACACAATCCATAATCCCCAAACCACTCTCTTCTCAAACAGCAAGAATCACAACCATCCTTACTTCCCAAGCCCCCTCTCAAAGTAAGCCGTCAACTTCCTCATGGGCATACCCGCACAAAACGCCCAGGAATACCGTCTCATAAACACCGTAATCCGTTCATCCATCTCGGCCATTTTCGCCGCTCTGCACCGTTCCACCTCACTCTCCGTACGATTATCCCTGCAGTCCCACCGCAATTCCAGCTCCACCTCCCCGACGGTGTGCCCAAAGTCCGTGACATCCTGCACGATCGTGAACTCGTCGTCCGCGGTCCAGCTCTCGCGTAGTGTCGTGAAGGACGCCATCGGCGTCAGCCCAAACTGGTTTGTCGCGTCGGTTCTCGTTCCGCCCCGGAGCTCGGCCAGATAGACAGAGATGGCGGCGGGCGTAGAGAGCTCCTCGAACTTCGAGTTGGAGTAATCCCCGCCGCGCCGGATCTTGGCCTGCCAGTTGTCGTTGCGTCGGCGGACCCAGACGCCTCTGGTGGAGAGGAAGTCGGCCGAGTCGTAGTAGGTATCGTGGATGGTTTGTTGACCGCGATAGAGGAGGTTGTGGAAGGGTGGGTTGCCGCTGTTGAGGTGGAGCTTGTTGACAGCCAGGCGACGGAATTCGCGTTCAACTTCTAGGAGGAGCATTTTTGGGGTAGAAGCTTGATGTGACTCTTGAGATGGGTGTTGGATCGGGGGTTTGAGCTGAAGAGATGGGCACTTTCTTTGTGGCCGATTTGTTGTGTAGTGGATAAGTACAGACTCTGATCTTAATTTAGAGATGTGAAAGTGCAGCTGTTGCTCTTGACAATGGTGGAGCGATTTCGTGGGAGGGGCAAATTTGTTGTGTACAGTCGATTTAGGTGAAGAGAGTACAAACGCGGGGTGGTCTCAGATCATCGTATCATCTCAATTCCTAGGCTTCATTCACTACCACCCCGACATACCGCTCTTGTTCACATAATCGACTTCTATCTCCCATTTGAACCTATGCAAGCTAAGAAGCCTTCTGATGCCTCTACTCTTTCACCACCTTCCACCACCGCCAACATCGACAGAAAACACATACACTCCACAAGCACCACAAGCACCACAAGCACCACAAGCACCACAAGCACCACAAGCACCACAAGCACCACAAGCACCACAAGCACTACACACACCATGGACTTCCGCCGCATCTCTCGCATCTATGTCATCGGTAAGAATCAACCCCAATCATCATATACACAACTCCATTCTCCTCTTTGCTCCGCTAAAATGATATCGTTTCAACTCCAGGAGCTCCCGGCGCAGGCAAAGGATCACTCTGCGCCAAGCTCGCAGCCGACTTCGGCTTCCATCACTTATCAGTGGGGACTACTAGTGATGTTTGATGAATTAATGCTTGGCTCTCTAGATCGGTTCGCCCAAATTGGTTCTATTCTTTGATTGTCCGGGCGCGCTAGCCAGACAGAGATTCCTGATCAGAGAGCTTCCCGGTAGAGTTGACGATGGGTCGACCTTCGACACGCGGTATCAGCAGTGCTGTGCGGAGAATATGAGGATTGTAGCATATTATGAGAGGCGAGGCGTATTGGTGAAGGTAAGAAGATGGATCTTGCTGCTGGTGTTTGACTGAGTCGTCATTTAATAATGTTGCCCCTAGGTTGATACCAGCGGTGATGTCGATTGTTCCTATGCACGACTGCTACAAAATCTGGCTTCATACATGAAAGGAAGATCGGAAGCTGCGGAGGCCTCGGATGAGGATATTTTGGATTGAGTAGATCAGGTTTCTGACGGAAGTTACGATCAGGTTCTCGACGGAACTTATTGTACAGTACATCTGTGCCCGATCCGAAGAAGGTTTTTGGAGACTTGATGAATGCTCATTATATGCCATTGAATCCATCTTCGGAATTCAGGCCAACTTCGTCACGAATGTATTAATTTTTTTTTTTTTTTGGATGGAAGACCGTACCATTTTGCTAGTGGCTGGTAATGATGCGATGGCCCTAGCCGAGATATGGAGAGAAATAGAATACCAACAGGTATCATCCGTCTTGTTAGGTTTACTGACTAGCGGGCCCAGTCTGAAAACCGGGCCGTACCGGGAGAACACCCACGGGTAAGGGGCCAACTAAGGCTCCGTACAAGGGCCGTTGATCCGCAGTGGGTCGACGGGGTCGCTGCCGAGAGGCTTAGCGGACTATAGCTTCGCGGGCCAATGTAATGGTGCCGTTTTGCACTGTATATATCTTTTCTTGTAAATTGTATAAGAAAGGATGTTCGGGTGCTTCTTCTTCAATAGAATTTCAAGAATAAAATGCCACGAGAATGAATGATCAGAAAAATAGAAACGCGAAACAAACAAAAAGGACATATAAAGTTCCAGGCGAGTGAAAGTGAAAGGAAGGATGCATGTCAGGACAGCCAACTGCAATGCTAAGGTGACTTGGACAAAACAGTTTCCCATTAGCATAGGGACACTACAGTGGATCTCAGGTCGGGCAGTCCAGGTTAGCCTACCACTATTGTATGCTCACAGGTTGATATGGGGAATTAGTTAAGGAGGAAGATATAGAAATCAGGTACTTGTATGCAAAGGAGGAAAAGAATTTACGGACCAAGATATGGGGAATGATGTGGTGATGCTCCTCACGCAGGCAGCATAGAGCTGGAGCTCAAGTCTCACGCCACTATCTATGCTCTTCTTACTGGAGCTGGAGTGGAGTGCATGCTGAAAAGTGGAATAGCTTCCAGGCAGGAGGGGCCGGCTGTATATGCTTTGTTGAGATGGGGCTTTTGGTGGCTATTGAATTGTTATTGATACATATTTTCTTTGCTGTAACTACTTATACTAAGCGTTGTACGAATACAGTCTTGTCAATCCGGCATCTCATGGCCTGGGCTACTAGCCAGGTCCAACAACGACTGTTGGAACGCTTGAAAGATCGAGAGTCCGGAGCCTGGTGGAGCCTGGAGAGCACATTTCTCTCCAGGCTACCTATGGTAGGTACCTCCTACTGTAGCCTGGAGTTGTTGGAGTCCCTTGCCTCCTGTGACTGGTTGAGGACAGTTCACCGCTCCGGCCGCTGTCTTGATATACAATGAGGTATTATTTCCAGTTCCCCGGGCCTCCTAGATAGCCTGGAATCCACCATCTCCATGCGCCCCGATACCTATACACCCATTAACACTCCAAGTTCAATGACTGAGATGTCCCAAATATCAATTCTCGATCTGCCGCCCGAGATTCTCAGCCAGATCTTCTCGATCTGCGTGCAAGACTCGCGACACATCCCCACCGCCATCCTCCTCACCTGCCAGCGATTCTACCGCCTCTCCCTTCCCATTCAGTATCACGACCTCAAGCTTTCTTTTCCCTGCCAATTACGAGTCATATGCCTGCACCGGGCTCTGCAGTCGAACCAGGCCTTGGCCTTACTCGTTCGGTCTTTAGTCCTGGACCTTAGACCCATATACCCCGCTGAATATATCACAATAGACGACTACACAGCGGCAGCCGACGTCCTCACTTGGTGTCGCGCGGTCCGCACCCTGAAGATCTGGGGCGTGGCATTCCTCGCGCCAAAAGACAGGATATACTCACGGACTGAGGCTGTATCGGGGCAGATAATTGACCTCAGTCGATGGGAAATTCTTAAATATGCTCTCCGGAAGCTCCCCGCCCTGAGACGGATCGAGTTGGCAACGGAACCGGATTCGCCCGTCTATGGGTTTGATTGTCGCTTCGACTGTCAGCTACAGGGGTACGGGGAGCTACAAACATTACCGGGCACTGGTACGAAAGTTTTCAAAGCGATTATCAAGAGGGCGCGCAAGTGTGCTGTTGCACTACAGGTTTTTTCTTCCCTTTCCTTGTCTGGTCCTTTTCCATCTCGATCTACCACTCCCTACCCCCCTTCTCCCCGCAGCACTCTACTTTCTACCTTGCTAGTATCTATGCGAGAGAAAGGACAAAAGAGCAATCAGGCTGATCTCGATACCTCCTAGCCCGAGCTGGTACAGAGTGATGTGATTGGGCCTCGTCAGCCACGTCCGGTCCCCAGCCACCCGGTCGACTTTTGCATCGCATTTGGGTCGGGATACGCGACTAAGATGGCCGCGGAAGCAATCGTCGACGTAAACATAATCAACGGCTGGTTGAAGGCGCATCCGCACGTGCTACGACGTATAATTCTTGGGCATTCCCCACTCGCCGCCGAGTTTCACGCGGCGCGCTGGCGCACGGTCTCCTGTCCCGAATCGCAGACACGATCATGCTCTTCTGGCCACGGGTTCGCTCCTCCCTCCACGATAGCCGAGCGACTTTTGAGTCCAGCTGTGCACACGTTCGTCTGGAACCTATCCTTTTATGAGGTGACGTGCGAAGATTTCGGGGAACGGGAAGAGGACTGGCTGCGTAAAATGGCCGGATTTATTGTCGCCGCCGCTCCGCCGGCGCTGCGGACGATCCAGCTCGACTTTGACCCCGACCCGCATCATTTCCTGCCCACCAACCCGGAGGAGTATCCATGGGACCGAATCACACGACTGGAGCAGGAGCTGCGGGTTTTGGGGTTAGAATTGAAGTATACACCCCCGAGTGTCACGCGAGAAGAGTATGAAGAGCTTTGCCGCATGAGCCAGGGGAATGACGATGAATGGAGCGACACGGCCATAGCCTAGAGAGGAGGTTCGGCCATAGGACGATCTTGTGTTTAGGGATAGTCAATCTATCAACTTCTCGGGAATGATAGCTTCGTGCTCAGCTTGGCTCAGCCAGGAATACTCTTGCATTTGTCCGTGTGCAGGGAAACGATCGGGGACGCTGCCTCAAAGTTCTTGTATCCTCAACTTGCAGCTTTACCCGTGGCCCCGATCAAGTAATAGTCGAGGGTGTCGATATTTGACAATATCTACCAGTGAATTTACAGCTGTTAACCAGATTGTTCAACTATATGTCGCGCAGCAGAAGTAAGGCACCTTAGCTTTGCACATCAATGAACAATACTAGTGGCACGACAAGATGTTTACCTCTGCCGTGGGTACAGAAACCACGAAATCCTCTCCCTTATCAGCACATAAGCCACAGAAGCAACTAATAGCACAGTACGCAGAGCAAAAGCCGTTGGGGGGGGAGAGGTTTAAAAATTCATAATTCTGAGAACACCGGTACATCAAAGCCTGAAAAGAGAAAAACAGAAAAGGAAAACGGCTGATAGTAAGAGACATTTCATTCTTGTCTGCTTCTACAGTGGTCACACCGACCAAGTATACTGATATAGATAGATAACCAATCACCCACAGACCTGTCAACGCTGATGTCCGCCTCTACGCTTCTGGTTATATCCAGATCCACGGCCCCTTCCGCGTCCACAACTATCCCTACACTCACAGCGGGCTCGGGCTTCCTGTCTGGCTCCACTACATCCGCCTGAGGCTCGGATTCATCCGTTTCCTCAACAATAGAAACTAGGATATTCCGTCCGTGAACTCTCACGTATATTTCGGTCAACTTGGAAGGCATGTGTCGTATCTGGATACTGTAACTTCACCATGAATTGCTGCTCTTAGACGGCGGGAAGTCGTTTTATCGCGGAGACTTCAGCCGATGTATACTTCGGGCGTGCTATGGGAATGCAATGAATCATGGGCTATGGAACCAGACATAACAGCTTTGAGCAAAGCTTTTTATAACATAAGCTTTATAGCCCAGTAATGCTCGATATAGCACAAAAGTCAATGATTCGCATAATTGGAAGATATACCCTCAAGACAAACAGCCAATGTCGGTAATAAAGAACCACTCTAGAAAAGAGTAATGGGAACAGATCCAACGGACCTCTAGGACAAAGAGGTTTTGGGGAAATGACATTATTATGCTACGGGTAAGACAAAGAAAGATACCACTAAGTCTACTAGTCTCACTTGTCAAGGGTTATATGGCATTGTTCAGCGCTACTACAGCCGCCCTGGACACTGTCTTGCCGAGGAGGGGACTCTGTTTCCCCGGAATGACAAGATCCGAGGCCCAACCCAGGCCCAGGAGCTCAATCATCAGCACGATGACTCCCCTTATGATGAGCGTCTGACCATAGCCTTCTCGAGCCTTAGATAACACGACTATCGGTCGCATAAAGGTTCCAGCACGAGGCCCTGCAATTCAAGCCAGTTGTGCTTGCGACTGACTCAACCCTGTTGACAATAAATGTCTAGCGCCCTTGTGAATGCAACAGAACTAGCAATAAACGAGTTTTCTTTCAGGAGTCTCTCGGACCGTGCCATATAACGCCAACAAGGCAAAAAGGTACTAAAGCCTGCAAGGGACAATCAACACGTCGGAAAATTGAAGGAAGCCGAATTTACTGGTCAAGGCTTGCATATATCGGGATCTTCGACAACGATGTGGTCTCATATCCGCAGACAATGCAAAAGAAAAAACAGATAGGGGCGATACGAGAGTCCCGAACAAGAGCATCAAAGCAACAAAGGACAATTTCACCGAACCAACGGGTCTCTTAGCGAATATACCCTAAGTGGCTTAAGCAACGGGTGGGTCTATCTAGTAAACTGGCCCCCACTCGGCAAAAAAAGCCTCGAAACAGTCAGAAATGTGAGCTGACCCGGCATCCCCTGTGTGCTCGCTGAGCTGAGACTACTTCAGGCTACAGGTTTCTTCCAGTCGAGTCCGGCGCCTAACATCTAGCCCTAAGTATTGACTAGCATCCAATCCCTCGCGAGAAGCTCACAGGGGTACTGATCAAGGAACAACAACGAAGCTCTAATTGGTAAATGTCATGACGCTCTCTATCAGACCGCTTCTCCGACGGCCATCCGGGTGGCCAAATGCCCTATTACGGAGACACCGACCGAACACGGGCAGAAGCTTATCTCTGCTAAGAACGCAACCTCCCGAACAGGGATTCGATGCTAGACTGCACAGTATCTAGCGGATTGTGACTGGCTCTCTCCAGCCTTCTCCAGCCCTCTCCAGCCCTCTTTAGCCCAACGTAAGCCTTGATGGCACAACTAGCGCAACTCTTGAGAGCTGAGGCAACATGCACCGCCCCCCGTTCGAGGGCATAACATCCAATTCTTTCTTGTCTTCCACTCCTTCTCTCTGCTTTCCAACTTCACCCTTCTCTTACTTTGTTTCTGATTTCTGATCCCAGATGACAGGAAGCAACATGGCAGAGTCAGGTGTCAAGGTGAGTATCTACCTTTTGCCCCAAAATTGTCGACAGCGCCGAGATGGGAGCAGATGCCGTAGTCACATGCTCGGAGCTATCAGAGATCCTCCAGATTTTGGCTTCCTTGCTTACCTTGCCGCATCTTCGACCCACTGCGTCTTTTCGCATCTCTCACTGGGAGACTACCACCATCATATACAGTTCCTTTCTGTAGACGAACCTGATCGCCTTGCTAGAACGGTAGCTGGTCATGGCTCGTATTAGCATTTCAAACGCCGCGAAATTCAATGCACGCACCTTGATCAAGCTTCAAACGGCCATCGAAAAAGATCCGGAGATTGACCTAACTACGAAATGGCCCTTGAGGTATTCTGATCGTCTGCATGAAATGCGACAGGATGTCCAGATTGGTAAGTAGTTTCTTGTGTAAGCAACTCAGTCTCTAGTAGTATTATTTTGCTTTTCTTGGAATCTAGAGAATGCGACTGCGATGAAGAGCTACGGAGAAGACGACATCCGCGCTTTGATCCGCTCGTCCGCCTCGGCTGAGATCATTTTTCCACTCTCCGACACACTTCAAGATCTGCTTGGGATGTGCAATTCGACCGAGATGCAATCGCAATGCCTTGCGCAGCGGCTGGTTGATGTCATCGGCTCAAGCAAGGTTGTCTGGAAGGGACCCTTTGCCCGTCAGAAAATGGTCTTGAGCTGTGGTCACAACATCATTCTGAAGGCCGTGCGAAACCTGGACGATACAACTGAATACACCACACTAGCCTATCTTCACCAGCATAACCCGAACATAGCCGCACCCAAACCTCTTGTTCTATTCGATTGAATGATGTTTCGCTCATATTTATAACCCACTTATATTCGACTACATTGGCTGAGGTGTGGCCATCTCTAACAACAGTCCAAAAAGGCTTGATTAAGGAACAACTTACCCCGATTATGAATGACTTGAGGTCTTTGCTGTATGGAAACCGGCAAACCCTTTGGAGGGGTTAGGGGCGAAGGCTGTAAAGACATTCGGAGGCATCTTCGTCGGAGTATCAAAACCATTTTAACTGTCGATGATTTTGAGGATTTTCTCTTCAACAGCGATCGGCCTGGTGGAGAGGTCTTTTGTTGAAGTGCTTCGTCAGCTCTCCCTTGCCACCCAATTACCCTCGCCTGCAATAGTCTTTACGCATGGTGACCTTCGTCCAGAAAACATTGCCGTAAATTATGAGAACAATGAGTGGACCATAAGTGGGCTTATCGATTGGAAATACAGTGGATTCTATCCAAAATATTACGAAGCTATCAGATGCACGAACTGCATGGCGCCTTACAAAGAAAAGGATTGGTACCTATTTATACCGGATTGTGATTCACCGAAACGGTACATGCATTGGTGGCTGCTTGACCGGGCTCGGGAAGTGAGAAATGTATAGATCTCCCGGCAAGTAGGTGCTGCACAGGTAAGCGCGCAGATAAGGCTGCTTTAGATGGGTAAGCAAGGGCAGATATACTTCAAGAAGGGGAATACAATCATCCCGGTTACACAACAGTCATACCGAGTAATCGTATCTACGTAGAGACACTGTAACATGATTGGTGCATTGCAGTATCAACATATGTACCCAGTGACCTCCAATGACACTAACCTACATCACTTCAACCGTGTATGTACACCTCATTCTTCAATTAAGGCCCAACTGCCAATTCTATTACGCCCCCTGGAGCGCCTTAACAGCGAGGGCCGTTGTCGTCCCCCGATTCCCGACGGTCTTCTTGTCCGTCGGAAAAATGTACATTGCCGATGGCTCCCACCCGCCGTCTTCCTGCTGCATGCTGGCCAGCCTTTCCGTGTCTGGGTGGTTCTGGATGCCCAGGGAATGACACGCCAGCAACCGCATCCCCAGACAGAAGGCATCCCCCGCGGCCCCAATCCGTTCGACGAGGCGCGATTTCAGCGGCGCTTCCAATCTTGCCTTCAAACCCGGGTCCCTCGAATGCGTTAACAGCCGACTCATGTAGTACAGAAACCACTCCGGGCTCGGGTAGTAACGTGTGCCGTGGATGTATGCTCTGTGGCGCAGGATCTGCTCGATCCAGTTCAGCGTTTCGGGGAGCTCGTTGCCACGCCCGTATTTGCCGAACGCAACGAGGGTGTTGAGGGCGATGATCGCATCGACTCGGGGTCGAGATTTGTCAAAGTAGATCTGGTTCATCCTCCGATTAGTCTGGCTTTCGGGGCACCACGAAATTACCAGAGGTTCAAAGCTTACAGGGACCAGTCCGTCTTCATCAACATGCTTCAGCATTTCATCCAGGATTGGATGCGCGGCCTCGGGCTCATACTCCATTGCGACTAAGGCCAGAGACGTCGTATCAAAGTCATCGGGGTGTTTCTGGCTTGTGTATTTTGGCCTGCCCGAGAAGAAATTCCACAATCCGGGGGCGCGCTGTAGATCGACCAGAGACCTGATGGACAACACGACAGTCAGGAATTTGAAACTTGTTGGGGAGGTATAGTACAGTACCAATCATTCAACGCCTCCAGGACAAGCAGCTGGGCATAATTCTCTTCGATCGAGTCACCATCCTCGGTGGTCGAGTACAGCTTGCCCGCATGTTGCCGGAGGAATGCAAGCCCGCGCGCAACGGGGTCCCCTACAAAGTTCCCAAGCACTCGGGAGATGCCGTTCGTACCGACCTGCCCGCGTATCCCCAGCGACATGGCTGCGAGCACGTTCTCCGGTCGGTCGTCAACCACCAAGCTTCGATGCGGCGACGACCGTGTGGCCCGCAGGACATGGCGGTAGAAGCGTAGGCTGGGCTTGCGGACGCCGACTTCCCAGGAGGGGAAAACGTGATCGAATGTACTCCAGAACGCCTCGTCCCACCGTTCACGCAGGGCCCGATACTCTCCCTCGGAGATGGTCGTGATAAGCACCACTTTGACCCTGGGCGTTTGCTTCAGGGTCTTGAACACTGAAAGCATTCGCGGGTCGTAGGTGAGAGTGGCCCGGAGTTCGCGGACCACGGCTTCCAGATCCTTCGCGTCACAGCCAAAGAGAGCTGCTGCCTGGGTAAAGCATTCTTGTTCGGTGAGCTTGCCGACCTCGTACTCCATCCAGATCGAGGAAGAGAGAACTCGCCCGAGCGGAACAGTCGTGTCGCCGGTTTTCAACGCATAGTCGGCTGGAGCATGCACGAAGGTCCCACCCAGATCCACAAAAATGGTTGGGCTGGAGGGCGTGGCTTCATCATTGATGGTCATTTCGCCGATCTTGTAACAATGTGTTAGTCAAATTAGGCTTCATATACAGGGAGAGAGTGGCAGAGTTCCCCGAGTGAGAATGAATAGAAAGGTCTTATTATATGCCGGCCACAGCAGCATCTATAATGAGGTCATATGGACTGTCTTCCAACGATTCCAGTTCTTCTACAACTACCCCTATTTCAATAAATAGGCAATGATCATCTCTGCAGCGGTGTGACGTGATGCAAAATACTCCACAATTCTATCTACAAAGATTTAGTGACTTGCGGGGAGTTGGTGCGAAGGACCCTTTGCCGGGTTCCACCCCTTCCAGCACCTGGTGGTCGAGATCATGGTATTCACCAATTGAGTATTGTCAAGCTTAAGTACACCAAACTCTTAACAGAGTTTTATGAACACGTCAAACACTCTGACATACAGTAGGTTGCATTAGGAAACCACTTGAGAAAGGTTGTAGCTCGATACATCTGACCCACGCTGTTAGTTATTTCCGGCATCCTGGAATCTTTTCTCCAATCTTACTAACATGGAATGGTTTCACGAATCGGATCATGTTTCTTGGTAGGTGTGACTAATTAGAAGATGAAGATCGATCGATCGATCGATCGATTAATGCCTTGTCTCCGGATACAGTCCTCTGTACGAGGCTCTTCGCGGGCCGGAAGGTGACGATCTCGGCGATATCATGGATGTGACGCAGAAGTGTTGCATAAACGAACGCCGATACCTCCACGCCACCACTATTTAAGCTCTGATCAGCATCTTCATTGCCACTTGGAACCTAATGGCAGTCATACCCACTCTCGCGTATTCAGGGAATGAATTCTCCGTCAGTCGATCCTTATAGGAGCATTTTCCTATTCCCTAATACGATTGGTCTACTGCTCCAGCAGAGGAATGTTAAGTAATCAGGCGTTGACACTCTACCTATACTGGATAAAGGTCTTTCTTCATCTGAGACCCTGTTACTGAGTACTGAGTAGTAGGAAAGTTGGTCAAACAGAAGTGATGCAATGCTGGGACTCAGCATTGGCTTGCCATCCCCGCAGCTGAGAATTGCGGTGTGCATGCCACGTCAGATGTTGAGGTGAGAAGATCGCAGTGGGTCGGTCCTTGGGAGAAGAAGAAATCCTGTTTTCATCTACAGAATCATAAAGTCTCGTTTCGAGCCTTGTCTGCGTGTGATTCAAAGGTCGCGTGAGATGCTGTGGAGATAGGTGGCTGGCGGAAACATTGACTACCTATCCAACATCAAAGTAATCTTGTTTATACCCTCGGCTTTCTCGGGTGCATTCACGAGTATCATAACCCCAAGAACGAGTAGAGAAACGAGCAGAAGAATAGAGGCAGCAAGGATGCCCAAAGATGTCGAAACGACCATTAACTTTATCCCATCCAACCTATCGATCCGGTCCATGACAGGAACGGCAGACTTTTACACCAACGCCAACGATAAACGGACAGTAACGGTCCATGACGCTCGTGGCCGCGAGCACGAGTTTAACTTATCAAAAAATGGCTTCTGCTATACTACCCACCGGAGCGTGCACATTCCGATCTCAGATCCCACGATTCTAAAATCACAGATCTATCCGGAGATAGCCAGGCTCCTGCAGACCAGGTAAGCACCAGGCCTCCCACAATGGCCTTAAAATACTGTCTGGCGATGAGCTCTAAACAGACCCGGCAGCATCCACTCACCTCCAACCTGCGTCCAAGTCGTCTCCCACACCATCAGGTCCTCCCTTACCGATGTCAACAGCGAATACACGGGGACGCCAGGCCCCGCGCGAGCGGCCCACCTTGACCACACCCCGTCCGGTGCGAAGAGTTATCTGTACGAGAAGCTCCCCGAGGAAGAAGCCGCCCGGCTCTCTCGGACACGGTGGGCGATCATCAATGTCTGGCGTCCATTGAAGACGATCACCCGCGACCCCCTCGCCGTCTGTGATGGGAGTACCTTACAAGAAGGCGACCTCCTCCCAATCCGCATGGATTACTCGGCCAATACTCGAGCCAAGAAGCAAACCGGCACGCTGAGGACCACGGTCGGGTGGGAGATTGCAATGCTCAAGTACAGTGAGAGGCAGCGGTGGTACTATTTGTCTGAGATGGGGGTGGAGGATGTGCTTCTGATGAAGATCTATGATTCCAACATCACGGAGCCGATGGTTGCGGTGCATTCGTCATTTGAGGATCCCGGGTCACAAAATACAGAGGCTAGGGAGAGCATTGAGTTCAGGTGTTTGGTTTTCTGGGAGGATGACTGAACGCTTTCCGAATTTATAGCTTAACCTATACATATAATTTGTACATGACGCAGGAAGAACAAGCCCCTCCTCTCTATTCATCCCTGCTGATCCTCCGTTGCTGTCTACACGGCCTCCAGGATTGGAGGATTGTTGTCGTCATCCGCCAGCACCATAATTAGAGACCACATGCCTAGCACGCCCATGCTTATGGTTTCACCCATGAACGGCTTAAATAGGGCGGTGGAGTCCAGCGCAGAAGGGTGGCTCGGCTCGAAAACCTCCCTGGAAGTCCATTGCGAGTAGAACCAAGAGTTGATCTCCTCGTTAGCTAGCTGCTCAATCGTCCCATACCCGGGAATCAGCCATGAATGAGAAGTTTGAAAACAGTTAGAGCATCAATAAGAACAGCATGATTAGTCCTCTCAGCAGATGAAGATGCAGTCCAGTAGGAAACCAATCTCGGGAGCGATATCATTGAGAGCATAACTCAGACAATAGTGTATGGCTCAGTGACTACACAGAACCGCAGGCTCATCTCTCAGCCCGCATTCCTCGATCAGTAGCTCCTTGTTTACCTCAGGGTATAAAATTGGCCAACACGGATCACGCACAGTGGCCAGATTTTCTCCTTCCCAGCATACTTCGTATCTTCCTCTGGTCTCTTCGTCAGCCAGGAAACAGACTGCTTGGTATCTTTTCCATTACCCGCCGCGACGGGGTGGAAGACCTGTCGAAGCGAATTAGTAGTTTTCCAACAGCCATCCGAACGAGAAGCATCATATCAAGGGAGAACTTGACGTACCCAGTCGATGCTTAGCTCATTCAAACGCAGAGCTGCGACCTGCTCTCGAGCAATCTTTTCATCCTTTTATTTAGACCAGCAGATGACCAAATCAGCCAACTTTATTCCCCATAAAGTTCCCCGCAAACCCACTCAGAATTGCGAAAGTCTTTTTTCTATCAAGACTCACCATTACCTCCCCCTTGAACACCACGAGGACCAGCCACGGAATCCCCTGTTTCGCGACAGGGAAAGGCTCGGTCCGTCCCTGCACGCGTCGCCCGCGCACCACTCGCCCCAGTTCCTCCCGCAGCTCGTTCAGGGTAATCGGGTCCGCGACATCGACTGCGACAATCAGCGCGTCCACGTCCGCATAGGACTGGGCCGTGAGCACGTGCCAGCGCCCCGGGGCGTCGCCGCCCACATCTGTCTCTAGGATGGCGCTGAATTATCCTGGACATGGTAGAGGCGGGTGGTACTGGGGTGGTTGAACCCAGGCCAACGAATACCAAAAAACAGAAGACAGTATGACGGCAGTGGAGTACCTCCGAATATGATCGTAGTAACGCTTTGGAGATTGTGCGAGTTGATACACAGTCAATGTAGCCTCGGCTTCCTGCAATGGTGTGAGAGCGCGCACCGCCGTAATGCTGAGAAGAGCCTGATAATTTTCCGCTGGTTGCGCCATTTTTGTCCATAGGGCATGAGGAGGAGTAAGTGTACATTATCACGTGTAATGATCTCGTTGCCTATGTGGTTTGGTGGCCGGCTTGAATATATTGCGCCTCGTCTGTCAAATAATCTATAAAGCCACGGTCGGCATTCCCAGCGTAGAACAAGCAACTGCCAGTGCTACTCACTCTTTCACGTCTTTTGCTTTGTTTAGGATCACAAGGTTTGAAGGTCGGTGCATCGTGTAGGCAACGGGCTTCAGTGAGATAATTGGACCGTAAACTCGTGACCACTCCTGGAATCTACAAAAAAAGTCAGCGGCGGATGATGAACGTTGATCTGTGTCACATTTATACTTCAAGAATGCCTTCCGGGCCGGTATTTGGTGTAAATTGCCTTCCATCGATCATTTAGCGCGGCTTATAACCAGGTTCAGGTCAGATATAATGACCTAGGAATGGCAGGGTTCGGGGCCCAGGGGGAAACGATACGGGCCGACGGGTAGAGCGAGCCAGGTCCACAAGTTTCCAAGCCACCCAGCAACAAAGTAAGAGGGGGCAGAGGATAAGCGTAGCTCCGTTCGCCATAAGTATAGCTCAATATGAGGATGTAAGTTCCGCGTTATCAGTATTTACACGGGGATCTTGCGAGTTTAAATAGCCAGTGTGTTAATCCACCAAGTATTCACTGCCCAAGCTCCCACCTCCCCCACAACGGAGGGGCCTAGCGGGGTGTGAGACAGGGACAGACATCCTCCACATACAGGCAGACTAGCCTTCCAAATCCCCGCATCTCCACCCATCGGCACCCCCGCACTTCGGCATCCCGCATTCAAAGATCAAGCTGCACTTCATTCCTACAGTTTCCCACTAATACCTATACATACTTACTTAATTATGGCATTACCGAGGCAGGCTCCACCATAAAATCACCTACCACCCTTCCCTTTCACTATAGACAATAGGCTGCCTTCATCTCACACCACTGCGTTCGTGGAATCCGACTTTTATCTACCCGGAACCTTTTAAAGTAGAATTACCAATATTAGAGATGATCTTGACTTCAAGACTCACAATAAAGCTCTACCCCGCTTGCATCTTTGGACACAGTGTCGAGGTTTTCTGACATGTGCTTGACGAGGTAGTGGTGATACATAAAGAACAGCACCTGGCAGTTGCCTCATCAAATGTCTCTTTCATCTAAGCCTCGCCGCCGATGTCTTCAGCTGCATTGGAGCAGCCGCAGCAGAGAGAAATAGCAGTCTCAACACTAGCACTTTAACGTATAAGGGCCTGCGCATGCGTTAGCGTTCCATTTTACCAACCAAAAAGATCAATTGATACAATGTAAAACAGCATTTGCGCATTACAGTCCAAGGTTACTGGGAAGATAGGTTGACAGGCCATCAAGAGCATTCTCTTTAGCGAGGAACCATATCCAATGGACCACACACCGGCATTGCCATTGTCGGACATGCAATAGGCCTCGCTGACTGGAATTCTCGAGATATCCGTCCAGGCTGGGCTGATTGGCTATTCCGTCCTATACTATGCGAAATCACCCAGATGAAGAAATCCCCTCCTAGAAATGCACTGGTGAAAATCTTGGAAGAGCAAAACATTTTTGAAGGAAGCCCACAACACCTTGGGGTCACTGGAGAACAAAATATACCCCAATGTCAGGTTCCAGAAAAGGTCAAGAATCAGCCGACTTGCTTCCTCTATTCTTAGACACCGGATGAAGCAGGTGGAAGGACATTTCTTCATTTCATTCACTACATAGTAGTTGAGCTGGTAAACCGCTCCTTGATTTTCTTGGGGTAGGTTCCCTCCTATTCGGGGGATTTTTTCCACGGCAGTTTACAGGACCAGCCTTTGCTGTTTACTACCCTTTCATCTTCGGCCTGTAAATACTGTGAGGGTCTCTCTTCCCCTCTTTCCTTCCTACATAAATCAAACTTACTTCTCTGTTCTCCTCCTTGCTTCCAAATCGTAGACACGGAGACATCCCCAAGTGCGCCTATTTTTCAAGAAAAGTTTCATCGTGACATGACAAGAATCCTAATCTAGAACTAGGCAGAAAGTACTAGTGAAATATATAATTCAGCTCCTCCCACTTCTCAGATGAAATTAAGAGCAACATTTGGGGGAAAAGTCGCATCCATTTTGATTCTGACTATCCTAGGTCATCCCTATTGCAGGATCTGGCTGAGTGAGGTAGCAAATTCGTTGGGGTGGCATATATAACCAATATGAGCGCCCGGTAGATGCTTAATCTCTTGTCCCAACATCGCTGATAGTGTAGTAATGGGTCCAACCGACGCACCATCACCAGACAAAGTTCCTGCAGCAGGGATGATCTTTGTTGCAAATCTTTTCAACGTAGAAACATCTAAGCAGGAGCTGGTGTATTGTTTCAATTCAAATTCGAACCAGAATAGCGTGTTGGCGCGAGTCTCGGCATCGAGCCGTATATCCATACACTTGAACATATGCCCGCTCTCGCTCTCAACTGAGAAGGTTGATAAGAATAGTTGCAGGGCTTCAGTTGGACCTTTTTCCCTGTACAGATCATAGGTGAAGTTGATGAATCCAGCGGCTTTTCGCCTGTCCTCCGCATTCAGCACATCTGTGCAGGGAGGCTCGTGGGCCACCAAGCCCAGGACATTATATGGAAATCGCGACAAGAGAGTCAGAGCAACAATGGCTCCGGAGGATGTTCCAAACACAAATGCTGATTTATCGGAGGAAATGTGCTCAATGAGTCGGCTTGCGTCACTGGCGTCCACCTCTAGCCGGTTGGTGAAATCCTGGGGGCCTTCAAGAGTACTTTTGGAATATCCCCTCCGGTCCCAGGTAACGACGGTGAACGAGGAAGCGAGCTGTTCTGCAACAGGGCGGAACATTTCACCACGCCCACCAGCGCCATGGATGAACAGTAACAGAGGGCCTTTCCCGCTTGTGGTGTAATGTAATATTGCACCAGAGACATTGAGGAACGGCATATTTGAGAGCGAATGATAAATAGCTAAGGAATAATGGGTTGACAGAAGACGAGCGAGTTATATAGAGAGCAATCTTTCGGTTTGAAAATCACCGAGGATTTCCCATTGGAGAATACTACGGATGGGTGTCGGAAATGCTTCTACCAATCGGAAGTATCGCGGACTTCTGGACTTTGGTCAAAAAGGCTTCCCCGCCCTCACTATTCCGAACAGTCCGTTCGGGTGCGTGAAGTTTGTTTTAAGGACAGGTGTGGCGCGATGGCCAATCAGCAGCCATGGGGAGATAAGCACTAGACCCATGCGTTTCGAACAGCCGCCACCCCTGCCCCCCTCCTGTCGACGCCCCCTTAACAGACACCCAACACTCACAATCGGCCTGATCCGTAGCTCAGACTACGCGATCCAAAGATCTCCTTTTGGGACTCAAAGATATTCTGCTTTTTTTCCGAAATAAGCAAATGGATCGATCCGGTAGGAATGAATCATCATGTACTGATGATGTACTGATGATGTACTGCGATCCTACAGCCAATCGGATGCCGCGGGGATGCAAGAAATCTAGTGAAACTAGTATATTGATCGACCGGGTAGATGCATATCCGAGTTAACCGGACATCAGGTTAAAAGGCGATATATAATCAACAATTTTGGATTCTCCCATCACGAATTATTCACTCGAATATATCCCAAGATCGCTGCCATGTCTCGAATTGACGTCCACCATCACTGTTTGCCTCCAGTGTACGCCGAAGGTAAGTTTCCAAAGTCCTGAAGAGTGAAATACACGGTGGGAATGCTCATATAAAGGCAGCGTTAAAAGCAAATGGAGGTGATCCATCCGGTTGGAAGACTCCGAATTGGTCTCCGGAAAGTGACAAGGCAATCTGTCAGAAACTGGGTATCCGCACAGCCTTTCTTTCTGTCACGGCGCCAGGCCCAGATGTTGTAAAGGGACCGGAGTCAGCTCGAATTGCCAGGCAGTGTAATGAATGGGCGGCGGAATTTCGAGACCAAGATTCCCAGAAATACGGATTCTTCGCGTCTATTCCGTCGCCCTTGGAAGATCTTGACCGGGCCATTTCGGAGCTTTCGTATGCGCTCGATGTCTTGCATGCTGACGGCGTGACACTGTTCACCCGTTATGGGGACGGGAACTACTATCTTGGCCACCGAATTTTCAGGCCCCTATGGGATGAGCTCAATAAACGTCATGCTGTTGTATTCATTCATCCCACAACAGGGGTAGACATTGGGACGATCAACCCACTTTTACCTGCGCCGATGATTGAGTACCCCCATGAGACGACACGTTGTGCTGTCGATCTTGTTGTTTCGAAGAGGGTTCAGGAGAACCCCAACTGCAAAATTATCTTGTGCCATTCCGGCGGCACTCTCCCCTTCATCGCAATGCGTCCCGGGGTACTACTCTCTGATGCGAACTTGTCGTCTATGACTCTTGAGGAATTTCTTGGTGACTGTCGGAAGTTCTATTATGAGGTTGCCCAAAGCAGCTCACAAGCTATCGAGCTTTTGATGAAGTTTGCGGATCCTGACCGTGTTCTTTATGGCTGTGATTACCCCTATTGCCCCGACAAAACCATCGACTTCTTTACAAATGCGTTGAACTCAGCATCCCTGACTCAGGAGCAACTATCAAAGATCAACAGAAGAAATGCTTTAAAGTTGTTTCCACGATTGGCTGAGGGGGAATGAACTGAAAATCCCTCTTGTCTGTCATTACGCCATGTCCCTGGTACATAGGCCTATATAAATATAGTTGTATATGTTTATACTAGCTTAGTGGAGTTGTTTGATTTATTTCAATGTTTATCGATAGGGCCCAAAGTACCGATAATACTCTACTTAAATTCAATTCCTTGGATTAGTTTCACGGTCTTGACATATGGTTTTGGCAAATGAATAAACATTTCCAAGATGTGATTCCTAATACAACGCCATCGCCATACGGCTTTTTGGAGACCACTGTACCAAAGCCCTCGTGTACTATCTTAGCATAGGAGAAATAGCTTCGACTACGGATACCTTACCTGCATCGTCTTTAAAAATATTCACTCCAAGCATCACGATAAACTCGATCGCAGGCATTCGAGTGCATCGCTTGCACCATCGCAGCCGAGATCCTTGACAAAGCGCTTGTACTGGAACTCCATCTCCTGGGCATGTTTGCTGATGTGATGCTCTTCACGACCGGACCTGAAGATGTCGACGGCTTTGTCATTTGTTGCGTGTGAAATTACAGAGAGATATACTTGCCCGGCAGGTTGATTCGAAATTGATTTGTTCCGCATGTGAGGGCGAACTGGACGGACTCCGTTCGGGCCACCAAGTCAGGACTGGTTTGACTTGTTTGTTCTGTTTGCCTTGTTTGCCGCACCCATACGGATAAGATAACACTGCGGGGACTCGTAGCTGCCTTCCTCTTTCCCTCTCCTCCTCATGCTTAAGATTTTGTCAAGATAGCACCAAATCAATGGAATCAAGTTGATCTGACCGGCCGTCACACCGCACGGGACGACCCAGACTCAAGCCTTGAACGGATGAGATTGGGAACAACAAAATTGCAAAATTGAGACCACATACAGACCCCTGCATACACGGAGAAAGACAGTAGACAAGTTAACACTTCGGCGAAGTTGGAAAACATTGTTTCTGACTCGTTACGCTCAGATGAAGCCCTGGTCGAAATGCATGCCACGGGAGTCTGTCCTATAGACTTCGCTTGCATGAATGGAACACTGCCAGCAGGATTTCCGAGTGTATTTGGACATGAAGGTAAGGATAACACCCTCATATATGTTTGGGACCGTCCACTGGGATTCTGAGTAGGCGGTGGCGTGGTTTTGGAAGTGGGAAGGAACATTAAGCACCAACAGAGGCAGGACAAAGTCTTGTTAGCTTTGATTACTGCTCCACAATGCGATTCTGGACACCCGGCGTACTACCAGGAATGGGCTCAACGTAACTTTGGGCAGCAAAGAATGGATCAGAGTCTATGTCTGTCAACAGCGGATGGAACGGAGGTACATGGGAACTTTTTCGGACAGAGTTCATTTGCTCGTCATGCCATCGTGAGTGGTAACCCGGTGGTGAAGGTTCCATGGACCACGCCGCTCAGTGTCTTTGCTCCACACGGTTGCAGCGTCCAGACGGGAGCCGGGGCTATACTAAACACCATGGATGTGCAGCCCGGCAAAACCGTTGCCATTTTCGGTGTTGGTTCAGTAGGTATGAGTGCAGTCATGGCGGCGAAAATGAGGGAGGCCGGCATGATCATTGCAGTCGACTTGCACAATCGACGGCTGGGATTGGCAAAAGAACTAGGTGCTACTCATGCTATTCTTGGTTCAGATGAGGATGTCGTTGCACAGATTCAGAACCTTTCCGGGTCAAATGGTGTGGATTACTCCGTTGATTGTGCCGGCGTACCTCAGGTGGTCGAAATAGCTTTGGATTGCCTTAGGACGCGCGGAAAGGCTGCAACTGTAGGGGCCCCCACACCTGGGAAATGTGCAGGGGTGGACATTTTTGCGCACCTGGTCATGGGACGGCAGTACATCGGATGCTGTGAAGGTGACAGCGTTCCTGCTGAGGTATATTGGACATTTCCTCTCTTATATACAGCCACAGCTAATCCTTCTTAGATGCCACCTTATCTTATCGAGCAACACGCAAAGGGGCAATTTTCTCTAGAGAGAATTTTGTCCTCCTATCCAGTCAGGGAATATGACTTCCAGGATATCAAAGATGGTGTAAGGCATTGAAGGCAGTTCTACTCTGGAAATAGGAAGATCTACTAGAAAGATTCGATTTACCTCCAGAAATCGAATACATTTGTCCATAATATACATTGCCTGTGGCTTTCGGCGTTACTGTTTTGTTTCAGAAGTACGATTTACAACATAGACCATATCAATCACTATTTGTGTGGGCGGTAGAACGCGGCGAGTCGTGTGAAATCCGACAAGAATGCCAGTTAATTGGATAAGATGCTGGAAATAATATATGCACGGTCAGGTCCAATTGGTATCTAATCAGTTTGTTTCTACACAGGAATTATTTCCGATCTCACGGTTTTGTTCCCGGCATGCTCTTTGCCTTGTATGAATCATAGTAGTCAGAGATAGAATAAGCATCAAGGTTCTGAGATCTTATCTGTGCCTGTATGGTGTGCAATATGTTTTTTGAACAACCTGGAATGACACTACTAACCCGCTGATCAAACCAATTTTCTTTTGTGGCGCATCACACATTATCTCCCCGTAGCCTCCTATTGGCTGTATTTTCATGAAATGTGGATTCCGACCACAGGCCGGCATCTTCTCCTTTTCAACTGCAGGTAATCCTGCGATTTATTGAGCGGTGGTGTGCACTGAATCGCTGCTGGGTGCAGAGGAACCGCCTGTTTTCGACCACCGAGGGTTCCTGCGAATGATGGGATGGGTGATTTGGACATCCAGTTGTTCCCAGGATAACGATCCCCACCCTCTCCCCACCTTCCCCCCTCCACCATATTTGTGTGTTCCCACTGAGGAATCTAGATCATCCGTTCCGCTCCGAGAATGCCGTGGCGGGGTCTGTGGAGCTGTTAGCAAAACGTCGTCATTCTTCCCATCACATTCTTCAGTCTTGGATTCCTCAGACTCGACAGAAGGCCAAACTATTACACAGAGAGCCTCCTGTACTTTGGAATGTCCAGCTTCCACTTGGCACCTGAGCCACAACGTCTCTCGCAGGCTATGGCCGTGAATATGGAAACTGTGCGGCCGACACCGACTCATTCAATCATCCTCCCACGCAAGCGGCGAAAAGTGAGGCTAGCCTGTAACCCATGCCGACAAACAAAAACTCGATGTGATGGGCATCAACCATCATGTTCAACATGTGCTAGCAAGGGTGTCAGCGAACACTGTGTATATGAGAAAGAGACATTAAAAACACAGAGGTAACGTAGACTTCAATCCGATCAAGCGCAATGCCTATATTGAACATCAAAACATTATATGACAGATACGTCGCCATTTTGGAGGAACGGGTGAAAGAACTGGAGACGGGAAATCCAAGAGCATCTGATCGAGACGGTGACAGATCACCGTACGATTCGGAAGCAGGAGGTATGTCTATATACGGAGCAAAGGACATTTTGTGCTGTCGAGATCAAAATGAGATTTGGGGAGCTCACGGTATTTCTTGGGTAGTGCTCAACAGTGAAGGTCGAAGTTATTTAGATTACACCGGACCACGCTTGCATCAGAGTCCTCGGACGAACGGCGCATTGGACAGACAGAGGAGCGTTGCAGGGCCATCTGAAGATCCACTTAACAGACTTGACGCTTTGGTCATGGTTCCTTCGCCAGAAGCAAGTCTGTGTGACGGTGGAGGTACTTCTGTTACATCCTTTCTCCGATCGATTGCACACATAGTCGGAATGGATGAAATGGCCGATCGGGCGCTCCCACGGACAGGTAAAAGCACTTCCACGCCGCAGGATGATTCTTCTGCGAACAATGGCCCGGGTATTTTCTTAATGCCGACGCGCCGGATAGCCGACGCCTTGATGCTTCATTTTTGGTCATACGTACATCCGATCTTTCCGATCTTACACAAGCCAACGTTTGTCTCGATATATGAGTCACTTTGGATCCCGGATGCCGATATCTCACATCGTGGTTCTTGCATAGATAGTCCAGTTACTCAAGCTATCCTGAACATAGCTTTTGCCCTCGGTTGTAAGAGAGGCGACCAGGAAGACCTTGCAGAACGTTTCTACCGGAAGTCGAGGCAATATTATTCAGCAGACGCAGTCGACCTACCTTCGCTCGAAACTGTGCAACTATTGCTACTCACCGGGATCTACCTTCAATCCACTAAATATGCGAGCAGGTGCTGGAGTGTCGTTGGCTTAGCTATCAGATATGCCCAGTACCTCGGGCTTCACCTGGAGGATCACGGGCAGATACCTCGGTCCCAATTGGAACAGGAGATGAGGTGCAGGGTGTGGCATAGTTGTGTTATGATTGACAGGTTTGTCATATTTCTTTCCTCCGTGATTTCGCTTGGGAGAAATTGTGGCTAATGCACTGTACCTAGGCTTCTGTCGCTCTCGTTCAATCAACCAAGCATGACGTCAGGACAAGGCAATGTTCGATTGCCGTCAATGACCGATGACGAGAATCTTGCTGCCAGCGACGGTCAAGGTCCGGTCGACCAAGCGCACACTACGTCTCAAATGGCATTTTTCGTATATTCGATAAAGCTATTCGAGATTCTTAACAAGAGCCTCATTTTGCTGTATCATACCTCTTCGACTGAGCGCCAGGCTGAGCCAGATCCTCATCGTTGGTGGTCCCGTGCACATCTCGAACATGTTTCAACATTAAATCGTACGCTTGATGATCTTTCCGTGGAACTTCCGGTTCATCTTCGACCGACTTGCCACATAGATGCAACTGATACTCTTCTGAGACGTACACTCTGGCAAGGCTATATTTTCCGCAGCAGGTATCTGCAGTCCAACCGCCCTCTCCAAGTTATCGCTGTTTTACCGGTGGAAATTCAACGCTAATACTTATGTAGGTTTTTATATGTAAGGATACTTGTGCTTAGGCCAGTTCTCCTGTCAGCTGCAGCGGCTCGAACCAAGTTTAAGGATCTTGAAGACCGGCCTGGGGTGGAAGAGACGCTTGAGGAGAGCTCTGCCGTCAAGACTTGTTCTTTGTGTGTTGCAACGGTCCATTCCCTTGTCAAACATATGTTTGAGAGCCTTGGGAGAGTTTCCGAAGACGCAAGTTGGCGCGAGGTTCATTGTGAGTAAAGCGACCATATCCGTGTTGAAGGCTTGTTTATCCTTAATACTCCTAGATACATTTGTTTGCGCCATGGTCCTTCTTGCCGCTCGCCTGTGTCCTTTCAAGAGCGAAGCTTTCAATGAAAACATTTTGAATAGGTCTTGGCTCCATTGCCTGACGATTCTTGACCGCTTCAAACGGCAGATATATTCAGTTAAGACAGGCATGCAGATGCTTCACAGCTTAGAATCTCATGTCTCCCAGATAACAACAATGAAAAGTAGGTTCTCAATCTTTTTCTTTCTGCCTTTTCATAATTCAAATGTATTACAGGGGCAAGGGTGGTAACCACGCCGCCGCCGCAGGAAAATTATGTTAATGCCGACCACCTATCTCAGTCCCCTGGGTCAGCGAATTTTCTTGACGACATTATTCCACCTACTGAACTCGACTTTGACTCACTGGATGACTTCTGGCTACGAGGGCAAATAGGTAACTTGGGGTGGCTTGGTTAGCCAAACGTTTACATCCCGTTAATATTAAGGTCATAGGGATTGAATGAGTGGAGACGATTACATTGCTTACATTGTCTACGGTTGGGATGTAGATCCTTATGGTAGTGGCCACCTTCATCAGCGGTTGAAGCACCCACAGGTTAGATGGCTCTGCGTGGAGATGGTTTGTTCTCCAACGTAGGGGCTTACTTATTAATGCTGGTGATGATCATAGCGATCGTGTCTTTGTACCCCCTTAGAGTCTCTTTAAGGTCACTAATAGTGCCACCAAGGAATTCCATCCTAACCCAATCTTGGAAATTGGGCTGTCTGTCTTCCTCCTTTATGCTCAGTGCACTTTGTGATGACCTGTTGAAGCCCCGAACAGGCGACGTAGCAGGCTTTCAAAATCGGCTCAAGCGCGGCTAAAACATCACCGTCAAGAGACATTTTCTGGATCCGCTGGAGGATGATGCTGACACTGTATACTTCCGTTATGAGATACTGGACGGTGTCCGGATAGTCTCGGTTTTGTATGGGAATACGCGTTGATATTGTGTATTAAGGAGCTACAGGGCGTACCGGGCATGTTCTTGGGTCCATCCACCTTCATAGCTGTGCCGCAATAGGCGGGCTGAGTTCTCTCATAAGCATTGAAGAAGAGAACACAGCACGTTGCCGTTGACACTGATGCTCTTGACACGTTTGGGCATCTTGGTATCAACCGTCGCAAAGCAGTCCTCTACTTCGAACCGTGCCACCAAGCCCACTGGACTCAAGTTGTATCCGTTTAGATTCAATAACGTCAAGATCCGAGATGTGTCATCGGCGTCTGGAAAGAAAGCCTTGGCTGCGAGGTGTCAAAAATGGGAAAATGGGTCCTGCGATAGGGGCAGACATACTTGCACCAATGACGCCATCATACTCCAAGTTCCTGTACAGGAACTGAAGAAGCAGTCCACCTGCGCAGCCCCAAGATGCTCTTTTGTGAATCCGTTCTCCAGCAGAGTCGCCAGCACCTTGTCACGTCAAGTATCAGATGGTACAGCTAGTGATAGACACTATAGGAAAAGAGATGGAGCTTACCCAAGTTGGCTCAAAAAGCTCCAGCGGGAAAACCCCTGGAACAGAGCCATTTCCTTTCCCAGGACCACGGATTACGATATGTCGAAGATAAGCTTCACATTGCGCGCTCCACCTCGGGGAATCAATTAGGAATGCCGTGGTAGAGGCAGGTGACGCTGCCACACATGCGGAAGTGGGCACATGGCCGAGGCGGCTGAAGTCCAGCTTTCCGATGTATGCTTTGAGAGAGAAAAGAGGCACCTGGCAAGGCGCTTCGTCGCATACCCAGTCTAGATCCACTGCATATGCTTCTTGAAACTTTCGGAAGAGTTTGACTTTCGATGGGAACTCAAACTTAATGCCTTCTTCTTGAAGGAGCAGCAAATGCACCGGCATGAGAAGCTCGAAGCCTAGATGAGTGATGTCTTCGAGAGTCCAGATGGAAAGCTTCTGATGCAGAAAGCTTCTGGCATCTAATATCCGGGAGGAGACATCAGCGGGCGGGTCAGGACCTCGAGCATGTCGGCAGAGAGCCATCAAGGCCGCAAGTGAGTGAATGATGCAGTCAGTTAGGCAAAGAGAGTTTGGATACCCCAAAGACCGGGTGGATTGTTGCAAAGGATCCCATCCTCCATCTGAGCCCTGATTCTCGAGAAGGTAAGCAAAGCACTCCGGAAAGAGCCATCCACTGCCTTCCCCTGACTTATTGATAATCATTGCCAGCCAGGCCGTGTCGTAGATCGATAGCGTCAGGGAACTAAATTCAGATTGCCGCATCAAGTCTTTCGACAGCCGTGCCACCAGATCACTGCCTCGGGTGACCAGCGCGGCATTACCGTCAGCCATTCCGCAGGAACTGAGCAAGGGCTCGATAGGACAAGCTCGAGTGGAGATAAGAAGAAAAGAATTACTGTCTAGCTCCCAATAGTTAGGCCTTATGAAGTACCCACCTGACTGGAATCAGTCACTCCATCATGCTGATGTATTCTTTTAGAGAATCCTGCTAGGTCTATTCATCATGGCGGTCCTATAAAGTCTACCGCGGGCGAATGGCCAGGAATCCCACGACCAAGTGCAAGACGGCGTGCAGAAAAGCAATCCAGCCAATCCAAGACAGATAGTGTCGACTGATGAATTACTGGCCACATTCCGGCAGAAAATGCGTGGCCTGAAAGCCACAATCCCTGATTTGTATGCTTTGTTTCCCCATTGAAAACCTGTGATTCACCCTGGCTGTGAGAGAGCCCGGCACGAAGTCCTCAACCCGTGGATTGAACGGTAAGTATCAATTTTACTGTGGGCCTATTTCCGACCCAGTAAAGTAACCTCGGCCAAAACAGATGGGTACCAAATCGGGCTTAAAGTCGCAAATTTCAGAGGGCAGACTTTGGAGTCTTTGCTGCTATCATCTGTGCTCGTTCTTTATTCGAAGTCTTATGTACCGAGTTCAAAGCATTTGCATTGGTTGGTTATCTCATCTTTCGCTGGAACGCGGCTAATAGCTTACCACAGTATTTCATTTGGGACGACTGTATGGAAATCTAAGCAATAAAGGCTTCGCAATATCGACTTGCTGATGTCTCGCCTACAGTATTTGACTGTGGCATCCTAGCCAACGATAAGGACAAGGCTCAGGAATACAGAGCACAATCCATACAGTACTTCCACGCCGTTCTCGGTGAGAAAGACGATTTCCCCAATTTGACATGCTTTCCAGAAGAGCTTCAGCATGCCTTGCTTTGCTGGAATGAAGTCGCTGATCACATTCGAAGCGCGCGCTCGAAAGGTCAATCTGCCTCGCGCTCTGACATTCACCAAGCTGACGTGTCTCCAGATACCCTAAAAGTTCTTCTGAGGCAGATCTTATACTATGTTGAGAGTGTCGATACCCTGGATACAGTCTACTCTAGAAACCACGTTCCATCGCCGAAACAATACCTGAGCCGGCGCGAACGCACTGCAGGGGTGTATCCAGTTATAGCCACAATCCCGTGGGTGAAATGTCTATCGACAAGGCTCTCAGCTGACGCACAACTAGCTTCATTTATGGCATCGATGTCTCACAACAGCAACTCGATAGCGAGCTGATGCAGCTGTTATGGAAGCATACATCGCATTTGGTACACATGTCAGTTCACCTATACTAGCCATCTCTCCGACCCATCAAGCTGAGCACTAATGCAGGATCAACGACATGTTTTCCCTGCGCAAAGAGATTGTAGGTCCATTATTCTGTAGCTCCTGAGTCTACTGATTAGATCCCCCAGGCAGACGGGCAGATTGAGAACCTCATCCCGGTATTAATGCTCAACAACGATGTCGACTGCGACACAGCCATGAAATGGGCTATTAAGCTGGTTGAGGAGGCCGCCCAAAGTTTCCACAATATCAAGAGACATTTCCAAAATTCCCATACTGATACCCATGAGATCACTACAGCTTTCTTGGAAGTGTGCAAGAACGTTATCATGGGATTGACTCATTGGAGGTATTATTTCCCTCTGGTGTTTCGGTGAATGGATATTCTCTGACGGGCATAGTTATACTGGGCAACGGCACTTCCACCATTCGGAAATTGTGGATGGAAAGATTATATTTAAAGTGTAATATTGGAAAGGCGGAACTACAGTAGAGTACCAAGACACTTTATGATCGTCTTGTAACAGAAACTGAGCAGTGCCTTGCTTGACTAGCCAGATAAGGCCTGCTGTGCACTCTCAGATAGTCCAACTTGCACAGTGTATGATTCACGACTTGTGCCCACATCGAAAGTCAATCGTTGAACCACAGAAGTCTGCACGTCATCCGAGCACCTCCTGACTTTATTGCAACTTCAATGCGACGTCTAGGCCTCTCGTCCTTCTGATCCTGGAACTGAACTGTGTACTTCAAGCAATTACTCGGACTAGGTCCATTCTACTCTCTACTCACAAGCTTGACAGCACAGCAAGTACATACATACTATGATGGTTCTAACCACACAGTCCATGTCAGTCAGCCCTACCTCCAAATTTAAAGACAAGTACTCACCAGTCATCAGTCTATGCACCCTGTTTGGCATCTTTATAAGCCAGAGTCTCTCTACCGAATACTTTATCGTCTCTATCTCCATCCGCTGAGAAAGTTCCCGGGACCCATTCTCGCTGCAATAACAGACTGGTATCGATTTTATTTCGACACCGTCGCAAACGGACAGTATATATTCCACGTCTACGATCTGAAACCCACTTACAGTACCTTTCCTTCGCCCTCTACTCTATGTTTTGGCCCCCGTCGACTGAGTGAGACACAGATTCCTGGATCATTCGCATCTCGCATAACCACCTCCACATCAACGACCCAGATTTCTATCACGAGTAGGTAGTATGTGTATCCAACAAGTTTCAAGATCAACCAAAGTATTAACCACTCATTAGAGTCTTCAAGCCCGGAACAGCCTTCCACCGCGACCCAGCATTCTACACCAGCCTCCCCTTCTCAAACTCCGTCGCCTCGTTGACTGACTTCCACCACCACAGCCTCCGGCGCAAAAAGCTCAATCCAGCGTTCACCCCGTCTGCAGTCCAATCTTCATTGTCGACTCTGATCAGTAACATTGAGGATATAGGGGAGACCCTGTCGCGGGCCTGCCGGGATGGAAGGCCGCTGAATATTCAGAGGCTATTTGTTTATCTCAGCGTGCGTCCCTCACCCTGAATATCTAGCATGTAATCCAGTGCTCCTTTGGCTAATTGGTAGTTGAACATGATCTCCGACCGGACATTCGGGAGCTCGCTACGTATCTCCCATAATCAAGAGACTTTAGACGACCTCGCGACGACCTTGCACTTCTTGCATAGGCATACACTTCTATGTGGGGGATTGACTCCACGATCAAGCGCGGTAGGGTTGTGACTCATCAGACAATATATTAAACCGTCCAAAGTCTTGTAACTTCCCCCTCCTCGGGAAACTCGTCAACCTCCTCCCCCAGTGGCTCTTTCACTGGATCGTTCCCGGCTACGTACGGATGCGCCAGGTAAATCCTGTCTTCCAGCTCGAGAAAGCCAAGAAGGCACTCCCCCGAGTCCTACGAGGCAGAACCGCTCACACCCGCCGATCCCAAGTACTGCACATCGAACCTGGCAAGCATCCAGAAGGGCCGCGAGCAAGCCCACCCCGACCCCAACTCCGACAAGAGAACACTCTGCGACATTCTACTCGCTGATGGGGCGGAGTCAACCTCAACCGAAGACATCATCGACGAAGCCGTTCTCTTCATGTTCGCCGGTGCAGACACGGCTTCCTATGCGTTGGCCAATGCAGTCTACTATCTGCTGTCCAGCCCCCGGGTACTGCAGACTCTTCAACGTGAACTCCAGAGTGTATATGCTCAAATCCGCGCGCATGACGGGGCCGCGGTGCGGAGGCTGAGATATCATGTGCAGTTCCCTTCCCCTCCTTCTTCTGCTCCCCTCTCAATTCTCTTTTCGCTGGGTGTCGTCTCCACCTCCGCCCATAAGACTCCGTTACCAAAGCGTTAGTAAATGCTAGGTCCGGTATGTAGCTGACACACTGAAACCCAACAACCTAGTCAGCAGTCATCGACGAGACGCTCCGCATCTCCTGCCCCGCCCCTGGAGTTCTACCCCGTATAGTCCCGCAGGGTGGTTGCGTTATCGCAGGACTGGGATTCATTCCCGGCGGAGTGAGTGATCCCAGCATAGCACCTTGCGTCTCAACTTCCCTACCGTCAAATTTACTAATCCCCAAGAAATTAGACAACCGTCTCCACAAGCCACTCGAGCATCAGCCGCAACGCGACCATCTTCCGCAGGATCACGGATCTATCAACCCGAGCGATGGCTCTCCGAAGAAGCCAACGGCTTGGATCATTGGAAGGTACAGTTCAGTAAAGGGCCGTATGCTTGTATTGGGATGAAGTAGGGTTATTCCTTGTTGGAAGAAAGGGGAGAGATGGCTAATTTTGCGCAGGTTAGCGCAGATGGAAATGACGATGGCCCTGGCCTATTTGTTCAACCGGTTCGATTTGGCTCTGTATGAGACTGATGCGGAGAGTTTGAGGGTATCGAACTAGGTTGTTGCGGCGAATAGGGAGCCTGTGAGGGTGAGGGCTCTGAGGGATGCTTGGGGGTAAATTAGTGGTAAGTGGTAGTTGTTAGATGTATATCTGTCTCAGGGGGTTCGTGTGTGTTTGTAAGGGTGTGTGTGCTGTGCTTCGCAGCAGAGGTAGGTATGGCTGCAGACGGTGTAAATCGGAGTTGAATGGAGGGGTGAAGTGAGCTAGAACCGATAACTTGGAAGCTACTACACATCAATTGGCGGTGGGCATTAAACGAACGGCATTTCATCCATCTCTAGTGTAGGTGAATTCGATCTGTTTAAGTATAAAGTGCAGAGATCAAAGGCTTAAATCTATTACTTGATAATCTCTAAGCATATCAGAGGCATAACCTTAGCCTTAAGAATAACGCCTGATAGTCAACTGTCTACTATAGATAGGGACAGGTTAAAGTAACTACATGTAAAGATTAAAGATTAGATGTACGAATTTATATCCTATTTTAAAGTATTGATAGATGCTACCTGGTACTAAATAGGAATCGATATCTCATTATATCTACCTATATGGCGCTAAAACCTGTGTATCAACAACAATCTGGGATATTTTGTGTACTCTAACCAAAAATGAAAAATAGAGGAGGAGAAAAGATAAGAAAGAGAATCAACCTCCTGTATGAAAACAGCTATCAAGGCCTGGTGCTCCCCAAATCCTTCTTGCCCTTATTTCTAGGCTCTATAAAGCAACCCATTGCTTTATTTCCGTTCATTAGTTGCCCAAAATGATATTTTTTGTCATGTGATTTCTGTGATCAATCAGTTGCCTGGCAATTCTGCCCGATTGAAGTGCATATGCTTGAAGGAGGGGTTAGTGACATTCTACTAATCACAAAACAAAAGCATAATCAGACCGCTTTTCGGCGAGCATATAAGTCGAGGGATAATATCAGCAACTTCTGTACTGTATATCCACGCTCTGCGGCTTGTTGCACCATCAATCATGTTTGCTACAGGTATTCTGTGGAAGCCTCTTCACTACAAGCGAATCCCTTATTGCTCGCTTTGTGGTCAGAGGTTTACAACAGATACATCCTTTCGCGCGCGTATGTCGCAGTTCAGATGACCCTCACTCACCTGCTAATGATACTGCAGTTATTGAATCGCAAGACCAGACCGCTGTCTGGACTCCAGCTCTCACTTTTCGAGAAGATGATCGGACGATCGAGTTGCATGATCTTTACATATATGTACACAATTATCCACGCCGAAAGGCAAGATATGCGCCTGCTGTTCATAGTCTTTGCCTGTCTGCTGTAGTAGAGTCACCAAAGAGTACCGTGATTTACGATATAGGTCTCGCGATGATACCTCATATCTGGACTAGCCTACCACAAGAGGCCTACAGAAGTCATGGATTCCTTCAACAATCAATCCACTCATTAGTTCGCGCCTCAGCCAATTCTCAGCATCCGCCCAACGATGATGAATATCTAGAGCTGCTCAAAAGATGCGGGCAACTTCCGCCGGAGCTCATTACAATGATTTGGGACTGCATTTCCCCTGGCAGTGTACGCTCGATTCTGGCCCTCCCGGCTACGAAACATCTCTGGTCCGCCCCTTCTGTCACAAACGGAACTGCGACTCTCTCCTTGAATTGTGACCTCTTTTTATACTACACTCATGTGATGAAGCAGAGATATGTGTGTGGCCTTGGCCAGGGAGACGTAGTGTACGGCCACAAAAGCGAGTGTTCTACAGCCATATCGGTTCCTTCCTCGAAAGCGGCAATGATATTCACAATGGATATTCATGGGCTTTCTCAGCTGGAATTTGTGTCAGAAGTACCAAGCGCCGAACCGAACAAGACAATGTCTAACACTCGGTTCCGTGGAGTCGTTTAACCCCAGACAAAAGAGTTGCGTGTGGATTTCAAGTGGGATGTAGGTGCCTGTTCCCGGCTACTGGAATTTATCAATTTATAAAACTTCAGGTTTTCAAAATATTCGACATCAGCCCTTGCGACAAGTCCATGTTTGGACATGACTTCCTCTGGTCATCTATACTTCCTCCTTTCCGCCCCTCTGCGGATTCATTTTATGATTGGCCGCGGCATGTGGACTTCTCGACCCACGCTCAGCGGCTTATGGAGTATATCCCCTTACAGAGTAAGGAAGGAAAGCTATGCGGACTTACCGCATTTTGCTCGAACGCGGGCATTGTTGGCATTGGAACCCACTTTCTCTCCTGCTCTCCGCATTCATCTCGTGGAGAATCTTCTTTTAGCCACTGGTATGGGCGCCAACAAGGTCACCCTATCCACTTCCGCCTTGGTCGTCAAAAAACCATAAGTTCAGTGTCTGTATTCTGGGAGCGAGATGACTACCTACCCGAACCTTACTTAGCTGTATGCTGTGCCTCTTCGCGCGAAGAAGCTTTTTACTGACATCGGCTAGGTAACCACCAGTAAAGACGAAATATACTTTCTCGGTCCCTACATCGAGCCCAGCAGGACATGTACAAAGAGCCTATTCAATGCAGATCATGGAGATCTTCAAGGTCTCTACTACGACAAGTCGCCAGGCATCACCAGATTCACGAGCTTGGGTAGTATCTACCAGCCGCACAGGCACACCGTTCCACGCCAAGCTATTTCCGCCATCCCGCTGCGTCAACACATGGAAGTGATAGATATCCTTAATCCCCCAAGATTCTTCTCACAAGCACCGTTCAGGCATGTTCGATCCCTTGTGGCTTGTTATCTTGAATCTCGATGTACGGGACTTCTACTCTGCTACCACGACGGCACCGAGCGCATTCTGGGCCAGTGGTACGAAGATACGGATGCGCGACCCAAGTATGAGACATCGGCCTTTCGGGATGGTAGTATCCTGCGATTCTACTTTGCCAACGAAAATGGATATGATCTACTTATCCGGGTTCGGGTTGTGCAGGATGCTGCTCTACAGGCCGATGAAAGATTTTGTGACATGATGGAAGGCGTAAGTTTGAGATAGTCGCCTTCTTATTGATATCTTATCAGCTACGCTGACAACGACTAGGATGAGATTTACTGGCTGTTTACAAACTATGCTGATGTTATATTCGGTGGTTGAGGAGAACGGGTGCATTGTCATTGGGCTAGATCTTCCTTGAAACATACATGGATTGCAACTGCCCAAGTGATGGTAATAATGATGAATTTATCCTTACTTCTAGCAGCTCTTAGCTGTGTGGCGGTAGTTGCAGCTTAGAGACTACTATACTACTTTAATTCAACTATATATATATAATATCAAAGCTATATGTATAAACTTTAGTTTGCTTTATCTGTAGGTATTTATAATCGATCTAAAACTTTATAAGTTATATTTACAGGCATGACTGGAGTTTTTCTATACAGGTAGATACATAGCACACACAGCTTCTTATACTACTTTCTACTACAGCTTTATCAATACATAGAGTATTTTATTATTGCTATAAGCACTGGCTACACAGATAATACATCTTTTAGAACCTAGTATCTACTGTAGTCTGCAGAACCTTCTAAGGTTCTTTTAGTATCCTTTATACTGGTATCACCCCAAATATCCTTACACCCAAGACAGCCCAGATCTTGTCAACGACCTAAGAAATCTGGATTTCCGAATATGCGATTCATTCGGTATACTTTACAACAGGCCTTAGCCAATTCTTAGTGTGTCACAACTCAAAGGACCTTTTTGATTCAGTTTGGAGCTATACTGTGGTATATATGTCTTGATCAATCCTGTTCTGCGCGTAAAATCGCCATATCAGGGCCGTTCAAGTACAGTCACGGGGAAAGAAAATTGACGAAGTCATGTCCGGTCGGCGTTTTGCTTGCAAGAGCATGCGCTGTTGTTTGAACGGGGGATTCCAGGTCTCCGTAACCCAGCTATTCACCACCACCCCCGAAGAATGAATGACCCTAAGACCGCGGGCGCCTCTTACAGTCCAGAAGATACAAACGAATAATTCTTGATTCCTATCTTCATTCGCCCGCACTGCTGAAGACTGGCGTCGTATGCTCGGCACCAACTCATACGTCAATCCTGCAGTTTTGCATCTCACACATCGCCCGAATAGGACATCACTCACCTCAGTTCATCGGCGGCCTGCGATAGACAGTAATAGTGCGCGTCATGCCGGCGACCACTCGCCTTGCTGCAACTTCTATACACTGTGCTCGAGCTCTTGAGATTTGATATTGGGCTTGATCGTGCTTTCATACAATTTCAGCGGACGAGGACCCATTCTACTCGCGGTACCGCTACATACTAAGATAGTTCTACCCGCGCAGTCCGTGGCAGTAACCTTAAAAGTATTACCCCCAAAGCGTATGATAGACCCCTCTCCCTTGGCTGCTACACCAGGCTGGCCTTTCCATCTCCAGCTTTGTATCCACCTTGGCTGGCTCCCACTGCCCTAGCCTCCGACGCGAGAAGGCGCATCCGGCCTGAATAAGTGTAGTATGCTACCTTGTCGCAGGGCTCAGCTTTACGTGATCTGTCCTGTCCTTCGAGAGCTCAAGGTCAAAATGACTGCATGGTTTGAATGCTTAAGTTGCTGTACAGTGCCTAAGTATATCTATGATGGTTATGTTCGATGGTATAGTTATCGAGGGTGAGGGGTTCTGTGGCGCGTTGGAAGATCGATAGAGTTGGAACGCTGCATTGCAGGTGAACTTGAATTGTCGGTTGTAGCATACCTACCACGCACGAGCAATCAGGTCTTTTTCCTGGTTCAGTCGGTTCGAGTACTCCAAACTGCAGAGACGGAGTCTCCGGCTTTGGGAGCATAACCTCTGAGTACAGTGCCGTATCATGGACTCGAGGGTTTGGTGTATACTGATACATAGTCCAATTCCCAGTGCTGGGCAGGTGGTAGGGTAAAGTCAGCATCATCGCAGACAGACTGGACTATATACTACAACGAAGGTCACCCAGCAAAACCCAAGTTTCCATTCCGAAGTAATCATAAATACTGCTCGGCACCATGTAAGAATCCATATATCGAATGATCCGCCTGGGTGGGTCTAAGCCCCGTGCATTGACAACAATCTGGGATATCCATGATTCTGTATGCTCTAACCAGAAGTAGAAATTGAGGCAACAAATAAGAAAAATTCCCTCCTGCATGCATGAGGCTAGGAGATTAAAATGGATCCAACGCATCATCTTACGTCATAACATAAGTATCCATCAGCAACATTAGGAAAGAGAAAAACAGGCAGAGTATCATGATCGAACCATAACCGTACATACGTGACATGTAATCAAGAAGAAAGAGACATCATTATTCAAGAGGAAGGGTAGAGAGTGAAGGTGGTGAGGGGGATGATGCATGCAACAATCCGGGAGCAGTAGAATAGACACAAGGGGAGAATTTGGGGCAATAAGAGAGATCATGATATTGGAGACGAGGATGGCGGCGGTATCGATGCCGCTCCATTCGAGGTTATTCCTGGATGAGTCCAGACGCTGCGATCCAACAGTCTCAGCTTGTGATTGCTCAAATCTCACTGTGCAATATTCGCTCCGGACTCACCGCCAGCTTGCGTTTGGGATTCAGTATTCTGTTGACTGGAAGAGCCTCTCCGGTGAAACGGATGGGGGTGGAACCCCGAGAAATGGAATACCTTGCGGACGGCACTGGCGACGCCGGAGCGGCGTTTCGACTCAGGCGATGAAGGCGCGCGGTCCCCGCCTGCTGCTGCTGCTGCTGCCGCCGTCGTGGTGCTGTCCTCCGGTCGGCGAGGGATGGTCGCGTCGTCCTGTAGAACAATCGAGGTCTGGGTCGGTTTGGGGGGCCATTGGCCGTCGGCCTTCCAGCCTTGGACCATGGCTTTGGTGACGTCGGCGAGGTTGATGGGGACAGTGGGCGTGAGACCCTGGATGACGACTTTGGAGTAGATGGAGGGGTACATGGCTGGCGTAATGGAGGCGCGGATGGGATTGGTCCCCGAGATCAGGGAGGGGACGACGGGTATGAAGGGCTCTTCGAGTGTTCGAAGCGGCTGTTGCGCTTGCGGTTGTTCGGAGGACGAAGTCTCCGTGGTGGCGCTGGAGGTCTCTTTCTGGGGGCCCGGTTCGGTGATGATGGTCTCCGTGGAAGCAGTCGGTTCCTTCTTGTCCTCCGCGACTGTCGATGGCTCAGCCTCCTCGCCGTCCAGCTGCGCCAGGTTCTTCGGCTCTCCAAGGCTAAGGGCAGCTTCCGTCCTGGCGACCAGGTCGCTAGTCGGAGACCTGGGCGGGCTCTGCACGGCCGCGTCCGATGACGATAACGAGGACTCGGTCGCGTGGCCCTCCTCCTGCTGCTGCTGCTGGTGCTTCTTCAGGTTTTTGGAGCGGATCTCGTCCTTGGTGTGGGCGCCCGACCACGCATCTCGTCGCTCAACCCACGCGCGCAAGCCCTCGTTCCAGCGCATCTCCTCCTCCATCTGGCGGCGGCGTTTGCGCCGGCGCTCCGAATCATCGCCCAGCGGTGTCGCGATGGGGCTGGAGATCTCCGACGGCGTGAAGCCCGGCAGCTGCTGGACATCCGCGGGGTTGATTGTCGGGGAGGATTGGGGTTCCAGTTCGGAGCCGGAACTGTCGTATTCGCGCAAGCGCCATTCGAGCACGTCCTGCTCCGGAGTCGGCGGTGATGAGAACGAAGGAATGCCGTATTCGGGGGACAGTTCAAAGACCCAGTCATTTCGCACTGTGTCGCGGACATATTGTTTGGCCTCTCGGATGGCCGCATCGCGGGCCTCGGTGGTTGACATGGTGGGCGAGGTGAGTGCAATGTGACAGGTCGAGCAGAGGGGTAAAAATAGAAGCTGCGGGGAAACAATTGGAAAAAATTCAGGATGACGGCGACAATCCCGAGGAAGATCAAGCCCAGACCAGAAGATTGAAGCCTCTCAAAAGAGATGAGAGAAAATGGCGACAAAATTGACAAGAGAGCAAAGTAGGCTAAAACAAGAGGAATGAAGGAAAGCCCTGCTGGAGAGTTTGGGGGGGGGGGGGGGGGGAGGTTGTTGCAACTGAGGAGGAGCCGAAAAGGTTGGCTGATCCAAAGGCGGCGGCGTTTCGTCGATGTCATTCCGAGGTCGAGCCCCTTCCCCGGCTTACTTCTTCCGGAAGTACAGTACTGCACTTCACTTACATCCACTATACTTTATATTAATGAATAGCTTAGATTCAGACATTTCCACTCATATGTACGAGAAAACAAACATTCTATTCCAGAAAGATAGCAGGTATCTGCAATATTGTTACAGGTTCATGTCGCTAATTAGTGTACAATTGATCGTCATTGCCTGCCTGCCTTTCCATCCCAGTCCACTCCAATCCGAACCCTCCAAAACCAAGTAGTAGAGAGAATAAAAGTCGATCTATACAAGAATACTCATTGCCGCCAAGGTCAGGTCCGGACGCGCGCAGCATCCTCGGCCGCTGCTGATGCGTCCGCACCCACTGGGATAAATCCCCACCCAGGACTCTTCTTCCGCCGTCCTTTGCGATCACCATATTGTTCATCGAACTTCCGGATTGCGGACAAGGACGCCATGTCCTCGCTGATTGATGCACTGATTTCCTCCATCCCCCGCTCGAAGTGCTTCCAGGTCAACGTGCGTCGGGCTGGGTACTGGTAGGGCTTGTCGCCTTGGTGCTGTGCCGCCAGTTCGTTCTCCTCTCGCACACAAGCCAATGCGGCAGCCACTGAAAGATTCTTCAAGTCAGAACCTGAATAGAGCGGAGTACGGCGCGCCAACTCCGCAAGGTCTATTGTGCTGTCGAGCAGCTCGTCTTTCAAATGGATCTTCAAGATGGCCTGGCGATCCTGCTCGGTCGGAAGATCAACCAGAAGGCGGCGGGGAAGACGTCGGAGAACAGCATCATCCAGATCAAAGGGTCGGTTCGTAGCAACCATGATGAAGGCAGAGAGGTCATTCATTCCGTCCCACTCGCGCAGGAACTGGTTGATGAGCTCCCGGTGAGAGGTACGGCTACTAGCACGGGTTCGGGAGCAGAAAATGGCGTCCGCCTCATCAATGAAAACAACACAAGGGCTGAGCTTCTTCGCGAGCGTAAAGATGGCCTTGACGTTCTTCTCACCTTCACCCACGTACATGTCATAAACTTCCGAGCCGCTGACCTCGAGAACGGTGGCACCACTCTCGCGGGCTACAGCCTTGGCCAGGAGTGTCTTACCTGTTCCAGGCGGCCCGTAGAGCAGTAGACCGGGGATCTTGTCCGTAGCCAGAACACCGTAGGTAAACGCCTCGGGACGAATCAAAGACAACGAAGTCAGCGTTTTCAAGGCGTCGATAGTCTCTGGGGGCACATGAACGTCCGAAAACGTAGTCCGGATGCTCTGCGCATCAACAACTCCGTTCAGCAGCTTCTTCTCATATGAGTTGCACGTCTTTCGTAGAGAGCTCAGCAAGCGCTCCCGGTCACCAGCCGCACCTCCTGTGTTGGCTTTGGGCGCCTTTTCTTGCAGCCAGTCCTTCTTGGCGCGCTCGCTCTGCTTTGTCATCTCAATTCCTCTACGAATGTGCTCGAAACCAAGCTGTTCACCAGCCTTGAGAGAGCCGAGTGCCAGCGTGCATACCCAGTGAACTTGGGAGTATGACCAGTACCGCTCTTCCAAGCCACTCTGTTTCACAAGAGACGAGTCCAATGGCCAGGCACGATCACGGAAGATATCGTCCTTGAGTGCGGCGGCTTGTTCATGCAGTCGCGTGCGAAGCATGTCCTGGATGTGGCGGATGTTGATATCTAACGTCCGTTTTCGTTGGTCCTCTGCAAATGTACGCGCTGCCACCTCCGAGCCCATGTCAGGCGTGACGAGCAGCACTTGGGAAAACTGGTCATCAGGAGCGTTCTGCATTAATCGGGAGGAATCTGCCCCGGATGCAGCTTCCTGTGCCATCGTGCCAACAAACAAGACCCGGGATCCGGCCTTGCGCTTTTCTTCAATTGCTTTCCGCAAGATTATTATAAACTTGGCGCCTTCACGAGTATCCTGGATCTCGTCATAGTCCTGGACCTGGACGATGACATCGCGAGCGGCTGGGGTCGCTTCGGGCTCGGAAACTGCCGGTTTTGCGGGCGTGTTGCCATCCGCCTCTTTCAATGCTGGTGGTGCAGGCTTTCTGCTAGAGGGGGAAATGAGTTGGCGGGCAAGCCGAAGTCGTCTACTCTCTGGTTTCGATGCGGCGTTCGCGCCATCCGCTGCCGGGTTGAACAGCTTCAACCTAGACAGTACGTCATGAATCTCTCCAGACGATCCTAAGATAAACCTTTGGCTCACTGCCGGGAGATCGGAGGATGAGTGCAATGGTTGCAGAGTGTCGTCGTCGTTGTCGAACTCGGTCGAATCCACTCCATCCTGCGAAACCTCCGGTATGGTAGGTCGATATACGTCGTAGCCCAGGGATCGAATCGCGTCGGTTTTACCGGTATCTGTCAGATCCTGTTCGCTGCATAACTCTGCGATGTCCTGCGCGTTCAGCGTCACCAGGTCTGCGCCAACCTCCTGAGCCAACCTCTTGACTACCGCGTCCAGAAACAAGATCCCATCTGCACCCGGATACTGCAGGACCAGATGTGACTTCCGAGCTGAGGGTTCTTGGGCGTACCTTGCCGGCGGCAGACGCATACCAGCGCGTGCAGACGCACAAAGCTCCTCCCACATGGCATCCGTCAAGGCGTAGCGGTTCTCCTGTGGCGTCGAGTCGTCTGAGGCCGATGGGCCCTCGCCATCACCACCGTGGCCGAGCTTTTCGACTGAGGACGCTTTCTCCGCGTTGAGATCCGACGATGACCGGATCTGCACTTGTTGTACCGAGACTCCGGCATTTTCGCCCTCCCCATCATGAACGACGATGTTGCGCTGCCGAAACCACTCCGGTACCGTAGTGACGGGAACAGTGAGTTGCGCAGACGTTCTCCGGTTCCTCATCACCCTCCGAAGAGCGGAACCGTAGGGCTTATCAGTCTTGTTTTCATGCTGTTCCGTCGCCGGTTTGGTCTCGGAGGTCTCGCGGTGGGCGAGGTCTGGTTCAGCGTTCAGGGTTGGAATATCACCGGGAACGGTACCTTTCGCCGAGTCGCGAGGGTCCTGCGGGTCAGACGGTGTGGATGAGAGCCACGCTGGCGAGGGATGGAATCGTCGTGGATGGGCGAGGATTGCGGCGGGAAAGCGGCGATGGGCGATAATCCGACAGGGTCGCGCCAGAGACCAAAGGAACCTGCCTTGGAGCATTGGCGAAGACATCCAGGGCGAGCAAGGCCACCAGATTATGAGGTACGGAAGAGAGTGCTAATGCTGCACCAAAGCCTTCGTCTGCATCAGCGGATAGGTTGCGACTACGGAGTAGGAGCCCGAACAAGGACTTTCTACCCTGTCCGCTTCCTGCTGGGGGCGGGCGGAGAACAAACTGGGATCACGTGATAGTGCCGTGATCTGCAATCTCCGCGCTGCAGAAGCAAGCACCTGTAGAAGATTAGCACCGCGCTACCAATGATGGCAGCGGAGCAAGCTAATAATATTACTCCCTACGCTGTATAGATCGACTGTCTGAAGCTTTAGATGGGGCAGTTTCGCAAAGACTCTTCACGAATCACGAGGAAGAATGAATGTGTCCTACAACAATGCTTAATTTATGCTCAAGCAGGCGATGCTGGGAATTAGAAGATTTCCACAGAGAACTGGCTCCCGTAGACCATAGAGCCACAAAGGTGAGACCATCCCCGACTACGAGCTCCCATGAGTATGGTAGGTCTAGCAAGCGGCGAAGCGACGCCGAATCCTAGGGCCTAGACCGGTAGACATGGCGTTATGTAGGCCGATACCAGTATCAAAAGAAAGACATTCTACAAAATAATTACAAAAGACAGGATTGTATAGGGAGCACGTTCGAGTAAGCAAAAATTCTTGGATTTCATTGTATCTGAAGCTATTTTCCGGAACTACGACGTGCATGAAGATGATCGACGACCCGCCGACACCTTAATGTCACTCCGTATGTTCGACGTCATTTCGGAAGGGGTAGAACTGCTATAGCGTACATTAGCCACGGGTTCAACGAACTTCATTAAGCAACGAGTTTTCGTGTGAATCACACAAGCCATGGTGCGAATTGTTTCTCAGACCAAATATACTGGCAAGTAGCAGACCAACCGGGAAAGGGAGGTCCGAACTGTCTCCTCATGGACGATTCAGAGGATAAAGAAGAGAAAAGAGTTTTATCATCTTCGAAACAATTCGCAAGGCGACGAATGGGCAGGGGAGAAAAGGGGGAAAGGGAACTAACCTGCTGCGAGTGGCAGATCTGCGGAGGTGACCTGATCTGTTAGCGACGTTGGATGGTCTGATTGTCAGGACCACGAGAGTAGCGAACATGAGATGAAGGCTGTTCCCCTGCCTGCAAGGGGACAGACTTCAAATCATATACCAGAGAGCATTTTGTCTGTTTAGCTTCTCAGCTTTTCAGCTTCTCAGAGATTTTTCACCCTGGTCGAAAGTGCGTTGAGAAGATGTAAAAAAGAAAGCAGAAAACTATCAAGCGGGCATAAGTAGTAGAAAAAAAAAGCGATGCCCACTGCGGAACAGCATTGATCCGAATGCCACGTGATAGAGACACCTTGCCTGATCGAGGTGTTAGCGTGACTCTGGACGAGGCGCCGACGGCGATTCGCCGATCGGGAGGAAAGAGGAAGAAAAGGCGGAAAAAAGGCCTCATATACCCAGCGAGAAGAGAAATGCGATAGAGAGAGACAGAACGAGAAGAACATTTTAGCTGCGAAAAAATAATACTCTATCATCTCACCCCATGGCCATGCGCTCTGTGTACTCTGACTGAAGTCGACTTCTTTCTTTTTTTGCTCTTTTCGAAATTCTTGACAGACAAATCTCCCACATTTATCGTTGGTCTATACCTCCGTAGTCAAATGGAATAACTCTTGTCGACTGCTGCCAACACGTCCAGTTCTTGCAATCGCGCGGTGCCTGCCTGCCCTGCCGGACCGTCTCTCTTCCCTCTCTCGCCCTCTCTCTCTCTCTCTCTCCCTCTCCCCCCGTCTCTTCCCCCCGTCTCGAATCGCTTTCCTCCCCTCTCATTCTTGTCCTGGTCAGTATCTCCCTCTCTTCCTGTTTTTCTCTTTTCCTCTTTCCATTTCCCTCCCTCGCTCTCTCTTTTTCGCGCGCTCTATCTTCCTATCGGCCCCTAAAAGTGGTGGTGGTTGTGGTAGTAGCAGCCCCTCCACACCTGCTTCCTTCTCCCGCCTCCCCCCTAACTAACTAACTAACCATTAAGTCTAATTCCCGTGTATGCATTATTGTATTCTCTATCCCATTCCTTTCCTTTCTGTTCCCTGCGCGTTTCCATTCTCTGCCAGGACGGCTTTAATCTTCCCTCCTAATCGCGTCCTGCCTTCTGTCACCCGCCTTATTCTCTACCTTTCCCCTCCCAACCTCCCGCCTCTTCCTCGCCTTCAACCCCCTCCTCCTTGTCTCTTCTTTCCCTCAAGTCTTCGGTCACACCCTTTCTGACTAATCTCTGCTGACGCTACAGGGACTGTATAGAACAAGGAATTCCTCCATCCCCTCCCCACCGATCTGGCGGGCAACAGGTGATTAGGCCGGTCCGATCCATGCTGCAGATCTTGGGTGGTCCTGGACGATACCGACGCAGGCTCAATCGCCTGTCAGCTGCGTCTTGGCCTCCGCTCCGGCACTAAAAGCGGCCCTGTTGTGCCCTCCACGTCAAGCGCGCTCGTCGTTCAGTCCCGACGTCCGCCTCTTTCGGCCTCCCCAAAAAAAGCCCTCTCTTCCCTTCTCTCTCTCTCCCTCTTCCTTTTCTCTCTTTACCTCCTCCTATCTCTCTGCTGTCGGTCGCTTTATCGCCCAGTCTTCCGCCCCCGGCTGACTCCTTTTTGAACTTTTCGCCTCTCTCACCGACCCCGAGGAGTCCCGTTATCGGCGGCTTCGTAGCACAGCGATGATGATGGCGCAACCGTTTCCCGCCCCTCAAGGCATCCCGCAGCACCATACTTTACCGCCAGGTCATCCAATGGCCCCTGGTCAACATCCCAATGCTCACCCCGGGGCCGGAATGGTGCAGGCGGTGCACCCAGGTGTGTCGGCTCCCGGAGGGCCTCAGGTCAGTCAAGGTGGACCTATGATGGCAGGCATGCCGCCAGGTGCTGGAACAACGGGGCCTGGAGGGCCAGTGCAGGCTCATGCTCTCTCCCATCTGGGTCCGGCACAGGCACACATGTTTCAGCAGCCTCATTTCGCTCAACAATGTAGGTTCCCCCCGGGTCGCTCGACGGCTCCGTAAATCGTGCTTCGGCTGGACAGTACTGCATTTCGCCGGCCAAATAAGGTTGGACCTTTGCTAACTCACTCTACCCCGAACTAGTCGCCGGTAACCCACAACTTTTGCACCAGCAGCAGCAACAGGCATTTATGAGGCAACGTCTGATCCTCCAGCAACAGCAGCAACAGCAGCAGCATCAGCAGCAACATGGTGGACTTCCGGTATCGTTACCCAACGGCAATCCTGCCGGCCTGACTGCCGCTCATGTCGCCGCCATGCAAGCGAATCAAGGAGTGCGACCCGTGAACATGCAGATGCAGATGCAGCAAATGCCCCACGGCCAAGCGCAGAATATCCAGCAGCAGCAGCAACATCTCTTCGCCATCCAAGCGGCCCAAGCGCAACAGGCCCAGCATGTGCAACAGGCCCAACACGCGCAGCAGGCACAACAGGCTCAGCAGGCTCAGGCACAGCAAGCGCATCAAGCCCAGCAAGTCCAGCAGGCGGCCACCCCGGTTCAACCTGGCCAGCAGACTCCGCAGCAACGGGCAGCCGCGCAACCGCAGAGCGTGCACGATGCACAAAGCGCAACGCCGCAGCCCCAACCCGGCCCCCCACCACACCAGGGGAGCGCGACTCCGCAACCGAATCCGTCGCAGATACCCACTACCCAGCCTCCGCCGCCGCAGCAGCAACCTCCCGCTCCGCAGCCGCAGCCCACCCCTAATCCGCCTCCGCAACAACTGCCACAGTCGCAGCAGCCCGGTCCTCAACAGCAGCCGCCGCAGCAGCCGCAGCCGCAGCCGCAACCACCACAAAGTCAGCAGGGGCCTGTACAGGGACAACAACAACAACCTCCTATGATGTCCCAGGAGGCACAGCTGAAGGCGGCGCAGCAGCAGCAGCAGCAGAATCCAGCTACGATGATGATGCAACAGCAACCACGAATACCGATGAAAGGGGCGGCAATTCTCCACCTGAATAGCTTCGCAGAACACCTGAGCAGCTTCCAAGTATGTGTCCAAAGTACACTCGCGCGCCAGGAAGAGCAATGCTAACTTCTTACAGAGCCGCGGTGAGGCACATGATCTCGCCTACTGGCAACAATTCGTGGGCCGGTTCTACGCCCCTGGTGGCGTCTTGCGTCAGGGCGTATATAACCATCAGACGGGTTCGAAGCAATTCGAGATTGGCACGGTCGCACTCCCGCGCTATTACTACACCCAATTCACGAGCGGTATCCGCCATATCCAGATGGTTGTGGAGGGGGCTCGGGAGCGGGACTTGCCGAACGGAGGTCACATTGTGGAGAGCCCCCGGACTTCCTTCATTTACTGGTTCACCAACGATACTCAGGTCGGCACTTCTTCCGCTAGATCTAATCTGAAGAAAGTTACTGACAGCGAATCTAGCTCTTTGCCAACGGAACGATGACGGCACATTTTGATATGAACAACAAGATCGAGATGCTAGATATCGTTATGTTGAATCATACCGAGTATCTGCCTCGCAGCCAGCTACAAGCCCTAGAACAGGCAGCAGCAGAGCTGCCAAAGCAGAGTCCTAAGGTTACCAAAAATGCGGGCAAGCGTGGCCAGCAGAAGCAGCCGCCACCGCCCGCGGCCACTCTACCCGAATCAATGGTGACTCTGAACGGTGTCCCGGGTGCTGTAATGCAATTCATGGAGGTGGGTTTCATCCCTCAAAAATCTCCCAGGCTATACTGATATATCTCATGGTGTAGGTCTCGGAGACGATCGCATCTATGCAATTTTTGATGCAGTTCTCCCAGCAAAACCCTCAATTGACACCCTGGGAATCGTTGCGCAACCTGGTGAATTCGATGCAGAACCAAGTTCCTAATCCTGCATTCATGCCCCTCCAAATGAACCCGGCCATGCAACAAGGTCAGCCCCGCGCTCCCAGCATGAACGCTCCGAACCAATTCGCCTCCCCAGCCATGGCTCATCTGGGTCTACCCCCTGCTCAAGGGTCTCCTCATCTGAGTGTTTCTGGCCATCCTAGCCCTGCACCAACCCACCTAGCTGGACCTCCGATGCCGCAGGGTCAAGTGCAGGGCAATGGTCCGCAAGTGACGAGTGCCAGTGCCAGTCCCAACGTGGGAACCAAGCGGCGTCGGGCCAGCACGGTGAAGGTTGAAAATGATGATAATGGGCCGGACTTGAACGGAGCACCGGGACCTGCGCCAGCCAAGGTGAAGGCTAGTCCACGCGTGGGCGCGAAGAAGCAAAAGGGGGGCGCTTAATCTTAGAGTAATTGTGGTTTGGGTTACTTTTTGTTGCTTGTCATCTCATATCATTGCAGTCTCACCAGGCGGGAATCGGCGTACCTTGAGGATACTGTGCGAGGCTTCTCTTTTTCCGATGCTTTTTTTTTCTCATCTGCAGGTGTCTTTTTGTCTCCTTGGCCGCCATTGAACATACGTACTGGGTTTGGGTGCTATATGCTATTGTTTTTGCGGGGCTGGGTCGATATGGTCCGGTTTCAATTGCATTTAGAAAGTCAACAGGCTTGATTGACAAGGCGTCTTTTGAGTCGGTTGTGCCTGTGATTGATCCAGACGATCTTGCATCTAGACCGGATCATTGTCCGGACAGTTCCTTTTTTTTCACATTTCTCTTTGCTCTATTTGATTATCCTTCCATCTCTCACAGCGTTCTGTGAGGGTTTGACGTGTTTATGAACGTCATTGCAGTGAATGTTGTGCTTGTGGAGCTGCTTTATTTGATATCCACCTTACCTGGGCGATTGACGTGATCTTGCTTTCCTTTTCTGTCTCTCTCTCTTGTCTTGTCTTTTACTTCTCGTTATGCTTCAGGCGCTTGGGATATTTTGGGAAGATAATGTGTTGATAGTTGCGTTGCCGCATTGTCGTGTAAGAGAGCATTTCACTTCAAATCAAATCAATCTTCAATCTTGAATACAACTTCAAGTTAGCCGTCGGATCTGGGCGCCAATCGGGGCCAGGCATCGGCAGTCGCCGTCCAGTGCCAACCACTTGATGAGCGGGAAGCCCCTCCACCGCCCCGCCATACTTACTCAGTAGATATACTAATACTCGCTATCTTTTTATCTCTTATTCTCTCTGCTCTTCGCTTTTCTTTTCTTCACCTACCATCCTCTTCGTCTCGGGATTGTACAGACCTCCGCAACCACACATCATGTCTCACTCTCACTCCCACGACACTGGCGTCAGCCACTCCCACGACGATGTCACCGGAGGCCACGGCCACTCGCACGAGATCCTCGATGGACCGGGATCCTACATCAACCGGGAGATGCCATTGTCGGAGTCCCGGGACTGGAGAGATCGTGCCTTCACCATTGGTATTGGCGGGTAGGTCTACCTCCTCTGCGAATCTCTGCGGTTACGGAATGAGTTCATGGGATTTTCTCGCATCTAGACCCGTCGGATCCGGCAAGACCGCGCTGATGCTGGCGCTGTGCCATGCCCTGCGCGATGAATACAACATCGCGGCGGTGACCAACGACATCTTCACGAGGTGCGTACTTCCTTCCCCTTTTCTTCCAAAGGAACCCCTCCCTCTCCCCCTCCCCCCACCCCAAATCTTTTATTAATGCCGAAGCGGGTCCCAAAACAACAGAGAAGACGCCGAATTCCTCACCCGCCACAAGGCCCTGGCGCCCAACCGCATCCGCGCCATCGAGACGGGCGGCTGCCCGCACGCCGCCGTCCGCGAGGACATCAGCGCCAACCTGCTGGCGCTGCAGTCGCTGCACAAGCAATTCCAGACCGATCTGCTGCTGATCGAGTCCGGCGGCGACAACCTGGCGGCCAACTACTCGCGCGAGCTGGCCGATTTCATTATTTACGTCATCGACGTCGCCGGCGGCGACAAGGTGCCCCGCAAGGGCGGGCCGGGCATCACGGGCAGCGATCTGCTGGTGGTCAACAAGTGCGATCTGGCGGCGATCGTGGGCGCGGATCTGGGCGTCATGGAGCGGGATGCGGCCCGGATGCGCGAGGGGGGGCCGACGGTCTTTGCTGAGGTCAAGAATGGGAAGGGGATGGAGCATATTGTCGGTTTGATTTTGAGTGCGTGGAAGGCGTGTGGCGCGTATGAGGAGTGTGTGGGGCGGTGGAAGGCTGGTGGGCAGAGGGGGTCGGGGAGTGTTGATGCTTGATTTTTGAGCTCTCTCTCTCTTCTGTTTAAGTTTCTTGGGGTTGGATTTTGGGAGGTTATGAAGTTGTGATGTTGGGGGGGGGGGGGGGGGGTGGGGGTGGGTTTTGGGTAGTTTAACGTGTGCCCGTTGATGTATATGATGATGATCGTTTATTTGCACATTCTATCATGGGATATATTCAAAGACTAAAAACTTTTTCTTTCCTTGCTTCTCATCTAAGTTTATAGGTAGCCGAATCTTATCATCCGCTTAAAACCTCAACGCCGGGAATATGCAAACATAAAAAATACAACAGCGATGGAAGCCCGACGCTCCAACCACCAGGGTATCTGAGAGCTCAAAGTCGCAGGATGAACACCCCACCACAACCCCAAACGGAAATACATACACGAAACACACGAGCCAGAGGATAAATCACATATCCTTCTTCGCAAAGCGAGCCAGCGCAGGCCCCAGTTCCTGTCGCTCGGCCCGCAGCTTGTCCTTGGCCCGCGCGGTGCGCTCCTTGTGCAGCAACTCGGCCTTGACGCGCTTCTCGTCGATGACGTTGCGGCGGCCCTTCTTCCGGAGGTACTTGCGCAGGGCGCTGTTGCGGCCGCGGCCGCGGTTCTTGAGCTTCTCCATGGGGTCCTCGGGCTTGCGGTCGAGGTCGCGCTCCTCGCGGTTCTTCTGGTCGCGGATCGTGTCCAGCTTGCCGACGAAGTTGGGGTCGAGCGAGATCATGTCGGGCTGCAGCTTGTGGAGCAGGCCGCGCACCTCGGCCTCCTGGCGCTGCTTGGTGTTCTCGTAGGGGTTCGCCTCCAGGGCGTCGAAGTTGGGCTCGCCCGCGCCGGGGACGATGATGCTGGCGAAGCCCTGGTCGTGGCCGACGCCCAGCACGTCCTCGAACGGGCACCAGCGCATGTTCTCGATGCGCTGCCCGTCGCCGCCCCACGCCATGTAGGGGCTCTGCACCTTGCCCTGGTCGGCTTGCGCCGCGTCGAACAGCCCGCGCCACACGCTGACCTGCGTGCCCCAGCCCACCGCCGTCAGGTTGCGGTCGCTGATCGCCACCGACGCCCCCGGCTGGTGGCACGAGTACGAGTGCACCTCCCGGAACATCCGGATGTCCCACACGTTCATCTTCTGGTCCTGGCCCGTCGACACCATGTACCGGCCCTGGCGGTCGATGGCCATCGAGCGCACCGGGCCGCGGTGCACCAGCGCCTTCACCAGCGCCGTTTGCGAGTTCGGCGACCACAGCGTCACGCTGCCGTTCTGGTGGCCCACGTGCAGGATGGCGTTCCAGGGGTTCTGGGCGAGGGAGGTCGGCGCCCCCATGCGGGTGGGAAGCTCGGCCACCATTTGACCGGTCGAGGTGTCGGTGTATTTGAGGTAGCCGCTCATTTGCTATGATTGTGCGATGTTAGTCGAGAGCAGTGATCGCAGGGGTCATAGGAGTACTGGACTTACCGCGCTAGCGAGAAGGAAATGGTAGGGCAAGAATTCGAGGAAGAGCGGCTCGAGGTGCTTGTTCAAGCAGTGCAGCTCCACACCGGCATGGTCGTAGATGTAGACGGATCGCTTCTGCGCGACGGCGAAGTACTGGTTGTTGTGCAGCCACCGGGCATCGCGGACCGTCTCGTTCAGCTGCAACTCGCAGCCCAGCTTGCCGTTCCGCCAGTCCATCGTCGCAACATGGCCCTTGCGGCCCGCCAGCAGCAGCTCGCGGCCGTTTCTCGTGTAGTCGCAGCGGTAGGGGCCCATGTCGGTCAGCTTCAGCTCGAACCCCTTCTTGGCCGTCTCGATGCCAACGTTGTCCCGGATATCGCTCTGACGGACCTTGTACGTCCGCTCCAACTCGCCCTCGGTCTCGATGAATCCGGCCTCGTGCTCCAGCAGGATCTCCGCATCCTTGGCCCGGAGAGCGGCCTCCTTGTACTTGGCCTCGACGGCCTTCAGGTTGCTGCGCAGCTTCTTGTCTCGGATGCTGTGGGTGTGAATGCCCTTGCCGCGGCCGTAGGTCTTTTGCGCTTCCATCACTCTTTTGCTTTCCTTGCGCTTGGTGGGGTTGGGGTTGGTGTTGGTGTTGGCCGTCGGCGCGATGGCCTTCGTCGGCGTGGATTCCGACATTGCGGGCGTAGGGAGTTGAGCGCTGAGGAAGTCTGTGAAATCCTTTAAAGAGAAGCTAGAAGAAAGGTTCTGATTGAGAAATTCCTCCAAGCTGTCGAAAGTTAAGTTGCCTTGAGAACCGATCAACAGTCACTGCGCGATCTGTAATAAAAATCCGAGCCGAACTTTTCTTTTTCTGCCGGGCGGTTCCCTCGCTTGTGTCTCCACCGCCTTATTTTTTTCTTTCCTCTTCCCCAGACCGAAGTCAACAATCGGGCCCCCCATTGGATTGAGTGTCAACCTCAGGCTCTTTTGGCTCTTTGCTTCTGGAGACGGACTCTGCAGGCTCATAAATATCTGCAAATCTGCCAATCCCCCACGCTGGCCTCTCTTCCCTTCCGGTTCAAAGCGCCCAGCGGTGCCAACATGGCGCCCACTCAAGCGGTGCAACACCACCACCGCTCCACCACCAAATCCTCCAACAAGGCCTACAAGACTCGCCATGCCTCGAAGAGTGCTCTGAAAGATAAGGAGAAGGGTACGTCTATCTCACTTCATCCTTATTGCTCTTCCCCAAAAATTAATCTCGGATCACTAAAATATCATCTCCAGGCAAGGTCGAAAGGCCCGAGCGGGGCACCCGCAAAACCCCTCACCAACAGCTCATGTCGAAACTCGATCGGAGGAACCAGGCTCGCCAGAAACAGCAGTTGAAACAACAAGAGAAGGCTCAGTCGACCAGTATCTTCTCCGGCCAGAACGGCGCCCCTCGCCATGTCGCCGTTGTGCCGCTCACCGTCGATATCGATGTCGCCGCCGTCATCCGGTCCCTCAACGAAAGCGTCGACGTTACCACCGATGTCTCCGCCGATCAGATCTCGCGGGTGCGCGTCGAGCGATTCCGCCAGAGCCTGCAGTACATTCCGGCCAAGTACGACCTCATGAGCGCGCTGGATGCGTGTCGGATGGCCGATTTTGTGGTGCTCGCGCTTTCCTCCCAGGTCGAAGTGGAGGAAGAGGGAGAATTGCTGCTCAGATCCATTGAGGGTCAGGGTATCTCTAACGTCGTTGCGGTGGTGCAGGTGCGTTTTACGGCCCACGCGGGTAGTGTATGGCTTTTCGTGCTAATGATATGCGTGTAATAGGGCCTTGATAAGATCAACCCACCCAAAAAGCGTCCCCAGGTTGCGGCATCCCTCAAGTCTTTCGTCAGCCATTTCTTCCCCTCCATCGAAAAGGTTCTCTCTGTCGACTCCCGTCAAGAATGCTCCAACGCGGTTCGCTCCTTGTGCACGGCCGCCCCCAAGGGTATCCGCTGGCGCGACGAGCGCAGCTGGATGCTCATCGAAAATGTGCAATGGCCCGAGAACAGCGCCGAGGTTGTGGACGATGTGGTCGTGACCGGTGTCGTGCGCGGAAAGGGCCTGAAGGCCGACCGTCTCGTTCACATCCCCGGCTGGGGTGACTTCCAGGTCGACTCTATCACAGCAGCTCCTCTCAGCACGACGCGAAGCAAGCGCGACGATGCAATGAACGTGGATGACAACGAGGCGCCGCAGCTCTTGGACTCGCCTACGGCGGATCACGATGACATGGCCACCGTTGCTCCCGAGGAGATCGAGATGGAGGACGATGAGTACTCCTTCGCTGGGGAGGAGCGCAAGGGTGTCCTCCTGGATGACCACCACTATTTCTCCGAGGATGAGGAAGATAGCCTGCCCAAGCCCAAGAGACTGCCCAAGGGTACTTCCAAGTATCAGTCCGCATGGTTCTTGGACAACATCTCAGACTCGGGATCCGACTGGGAGGATGAGGAGGACGTTGCGATGGGCGACGATACGATGGACACTGCCGGCGCCCCGGAGGACGGTGTGTTCCCAGACCATGGGGATGCCATGACGGAGGCTGGCCCCTCGGAGTATCCCCAGTCCGAGATGTTCGTTGATCCGTCGCCCGAGGACGATGCCCGACAGCTGGAGGAGTACCGGGCCAGCCGCCGCAACGAGGCCGAGGAGGACCTGGAGTTCCCCGACGAGATCGAGCTGCACCCGAACGTTCTCGCCCGCGAGCGCTTGGCCCGCTTCCGCGGTCTGAAGAACTTCAAGACCAGCCCGTGGGAGACCTCCGAGGACCGTGCGCACGAGCCCGAGGACTGGCGCCGCCTGCTCCAGTTCGCCGACTACAAGGGCGCGAGGAACAAGTTCCTCCGCGAAGCTCTCGTCGGCGGAGTCAACCCCGGCGCGCGGGTGGACGTACACCTGCGCGCTGTGCCCGCCGCCCTCCGCAGCCGCCCTCAGCCCCTCTCCCTCTTCTCGCTGCTGCGTCACGAACACAAGCACACGGTGGTCAACATCAACATGCACCTCAACTCGAGCGTCGAGGAGCCCCTTAAGTCCAAGGAGGAACTGATCGTCCAGTACGGCCCGCGCCGCCTGGTCGTCAAGCCGATCTTCTCCGCGGGCGACAACACCCCCAACAACGTCCACAAATTCGACCGCTTCCTGCATCCGGGCCGCAGCGCCGTCGCCACCTGGATCGGTCCCTTGACCTGGGGCGCGGTGCCCGTGCTCGTCTTCAAGAGCAGGAAACCCGCCGCCGCCGAGGACCCGGAGGAGATGGCCGACGCCGCCGACGAGGAGGAGGAGAGCCCTCGTCTCGACCGCCTCGAGCTCATCGGCAACGGCACGGTCATCGCGCCCGACCAGAACCGCGTCGTCGCCAAGCGCGCCATCCTCACGGGCCACCCGTACAAGATCCACAAGCGCGTCGTCACGGTGCGGTACATGTTCTTCAACTCCGAGGACATCCAGTGGTTCAAGGCCATGCAGCTGTGGACCCGCCGCGGCCGCAGCGGTTTCATCAAGGAGTCCCTCGGCACGCACGGTTACTTCAAGGCCACCTTCGATGCCAAGATCAATCCCCAGGATTCCATCGGGATCAGTCTGTACAAGCGGGTGTTCCCGCGGAAGGCGCGGACTCTGGAGGAGGTGGTTTACTGAACTTGCCTACTTTCCCGGCGTGTTGGGTTTCCTTGGCTAGAATCGCCCAGGGGATTTTAGGGGTGTGCGAGAGAGCACGAGATAGATTATCTATGATACCACCGAACCTTTGTTTTGCTTTTTGAGGCATATGAACCATTGATGATGATGCTTATGTCTTTGGATTGAGACAGAAATCCAGGTCCATAAATTTACCACAAAAAGTACAGTACATCTTTAGTTGCGTTGAACCATTTTTCCCCCTTGGCAGGATAGTTATAGATAGCAGGTCAGGCTTTAATGATGAGTTACGAGGTTTGCGTTCTTCTCTTCCTTCTCTCGAAATTCGGGTTCTCCTCCTTGTCGTATCCTCCCAAGTATATAACATCAAAAAGGGAAAGGCATGCTCCGGAGTAGTTATAGTAGAACCCCTCGCCACGTGATGCAGTCAATCCAGCATGATACGCATAGTAGCAGTAGATAGTTCTGCCACCCCTCCCCGCCCGATAAGCTCCTCCTGCTCCTCCTCCTCCTCCGGCCCCGGAGATCTACACTGACACTAACATTCTATTCTCCGAGTCCAGCAGCATTTGGACAGTCCAAATCGAAGCACAGCACATTATTTACCGGTCCCAAACGCCCACCGCATCCTCAACCTCAAACCTCCTCACTCACCCCTCCCAAATTTCAATCCAAAAACAAAAAGATGAGCCGCAACTTCGTCCCCGTAGCCCTATCCATCGGCGCCGGAGTCCTCGGCGGTGCGTGATGTTCTCTCCTTGCTCCCATTCCCATTCCCTGCTCCTCCACAAAAAAAAAAGGGTGCCCGGCATGTCACGGCGCATTCGCGCCACAGAGCAATCGCAGAACTAACAACTTTCTTGGGGGTTGGTAGGGTACTATGTCTGGCAACCGTATTTCAAGGAGATGCAGCAACACCAACACCAACACCAACACCAACAGCAGCAGTCGTTGAATTCGTATGTTTCCAATCACTCCACTTCCCTGGGGTTGAGGTCATGCCGGGGGGGAGGACTTAGATCCTTGGGGCTTGGGAGATCACTTGCGGGAAAAGAGAGGGGCGGTATGCTGGATAGGATTAAGGCTGATGAATTGGGGAATGCTTTAGGACATCTACCGGTTCGACGGCGCCGCAATCACAAGTTCCGACGCCCCAGGAGGCGGGTTCTGCGTCTACGACGGGCGATATGGGGGTGGGGAAGGCAGCGGGGCAGTGAGGGGCACTTTGGGGGGTTGCTTTGGATGGATATACGGGGTCTATATCACTATATTTGCGCCCATGAGGCAAGGTGCAACGTGCAACGTGCTTGCCATGCGTGCTGCTGGGCGGTGCGGGTGAGCACTTCTCTTATATGCTGTGCTCTCGCTGGGCCTGGGGGGAGCTGGACGAGTCCATGGCGGGTACCGCTGGCTGCCATGGACTGTACAGGCCAGACGGGTCGAAGACTCTGCTTGAAGGGGGGCTCCCTTAAGGAAGACATGCTACACCGACCAAAAAAGCCATCAGGTATACTATCATATCATATTGTATCATACAGTCACATAAACAAGAAATCAGTTCAATTTAGAACACATGTCCTCCCGGGTTGTAAACCGCCAGTAAAACGCCTCAGCTCCGATTGTGCGCCGCCGAACTCTCCCTCATTCTATACCTCTTGGACAAGTTTGCCGGGTCCAGCGCCGAAGACCTGTGCAGCCGGCGTGCCAACCCACTCTCCCGGCACGCCCACGCGGCTGCCAGCACGGCCACTGACCCAGCGCACCATCGTGGGGTCCGGCTTTTGATACGCTTCCTGGATCTCTTGGTCTGCGGTGGCATTCTCGGCGGCCTCGGCGGCGGGGATGCGTCCCCGGCGCTTGGGGGCCTGCTTGCGCAGCAGCCGGTTGATGGTATCCATCTAGAACGGTGGTTAGTGCGCGCGCGCGCGGTCATGAGCTTGAGAAGGCTCGATCGGGCTCAAGTATTACACACCTTCTCTTCTTCGTTCCGCTTCTCGCTAAGGTTCTTTCGGCGACGGGCCATTTCCGCGCGGCGCATAGCGCGCTCCTCTGCGGTCAGGTGCTTCTTCACCTGGGGTTCTGCTTGCGGTCAGTCATGACCGGATGCCAGTGATGCGGAGGCCCTACCCATCGGGAGTTGCAGGAAGTCATTTCCCAGATTCCCTCGCTGCCGTTTGGTCATGCGGGTGAGATCCGCAGTCGGGGTCCCGTCACTGTCGAGATCTTCGTCGTCCTCATCCTCCTCGTCCAGTTCCTCTCCTCCGTTCCCGGTCACCATCATACTCTCGTCCTGGTCATCAGGCTCACCCTCAGCGTCGGTGTCTGGTTCCGACAACTCCTCGTCATCATCGTCATCGTCGTCGTCCATTTCCATCTCTTTCTCCTCGACACTCTTGACGGCTTTCGCACTAGGTGCGGCGGCAGCGGCAGCTGCTGCTGCTTTCGCATGTCGCTTAGGCACTGGGGGTTGCGGTGGGGCATCGTCCATGTCGAGATCCCCTTCAGCATCGAGATCTTCGTCCTCCTCTGCGTCCTCGTCCCCGTCCTCCTCATCTTCGTCCTCCTCGTCCTCACCGGGAGCATCTTCATCGTCGACCTCGTCCTCTTCCTGGTCTTCGAGGTCATCCTCGTCGCTGGTGTCTACTTCAACCAGCTTCTTCCTGGGCCGGCTAGTGCGGGGGCCCGTGATGATGGGGTTCTCGGTGAAGACATTCACCGAGCGCCGAGTGGCAGGCGCTCCTCGGGCGCTTCCCCCGGTGACTTCTCTGAGCTTGTTGGAGGGCATCTTGACGGTCAGATGAATCGATCGCTTGGATGATTCCCCGGGCACGTCTGATGGAACACACACCGCGGTCACTGCGGGGGTGGACGAAGCAGCAGTAGCAGCAGCAGCAGCAGCAGCAGCGCGGGTGCTTCTTGTGGATCTGGGAGAGTCGTTAATATCTATCATGCTTGGTGGATCATTGCGCCCCCCGTGGGAACGCAGTGAGCGACGGGGCGGCATGGTGGGTTGCGGGGAATTAGGGGAAGCGATGAGCAATTGCGAGGTTCCGTGACGAGTGATTTATAGTCAAGCGTCCAGAGGGAATTTGCGCGGGCGGACAAAAGCTGCGTCACTTGCACGTTGGATAGACAGAGGGAAAGTGAAGAAGTAGTTGGAAGTAGAAAAGCGAAAAAGCAAACAGAGCCTTCCAGGGCCCATGCGAGGATGTGATGCGGGGGAATCGGGCTAAGGAGAGGAGATACGATACGGGGGTAGTGATGAGGTGTGATGTGTGATGGGGAGACGGAAATTACAATCACGAAGGATGGACGAGTGAAAATGAAGGTGTTGGAGGGAGGGAGGAGAGGGGCGGAGGGAGAAATGAAATGAGGGGAGTGAAGCGCAGTCCATCGATCAGAAGAAGAGAGGTCTTTCTGACTGCTGCTGCTGCTGATGTGTTGTTGGTTGGTACATCAGACATCAGCAATTTCGTCGTCATCTTCTTCTTCCTCTTCCTTCCTTTCTGACTTTCAACTATGCCTCCTTCCACCTCTCACCTTTCACATCTCACATCTCACATCTCACATCTCCGCCACATTCACCATCTTTCTCTCTCACGTTCTCTCATCCTCCTTTCATCCAAGAGAAGAGGGGCAGGGAAAGCAATGAGGCAAAGAAGTGCGACGCGGCAAGGCACAGACAGAGCATGGATAATCAACCCCAACCCCAATCAGACGGCGATCGAGCAGCCACTTGATTCATTTGATTCACAAGGCGTGGGAGCCAATGGGAGCATTCGCGGCCTCCTTGTCCTCAGACGGTGAACCCAAACGGCGCTGCACTCCGTTGCTGTTGCGCAACCCCGGATCACCCAAGGAATGGCTTCCTGCGCCGAGGGGGAGGCTTGATCCGGACTGGGGGTCAGGAGGAGGGGCAGTGGCATTCTATCCAAGGGTTTCTCTTGGGTGTCTCGATCACGCAGCCCGCCAGCCAGCCAGCCAGTGCAACCGAGACTGGGGCAGAAACAGCCAAATGACTGATGGGATGGGATGGGATGGGATGGAGTGAATGGGTGGAAATCGATGAGAAACAACAAGAGACTCAAGCATCCACTCACCGGCTCCAAGGGTAGAACGAGGCGTCCCGTTCCAACCACAGTCTCTTCAAACGAACTGATCAATAATGCGGCGGTGACGGCCGATCGTGCGAATCGAAGCAGTCGGTCTCAGCCTTGATCCTGAATCTGATTCAGACAAACTATGTATCCATCCATCCATTGATCGATGATGGGCGAAGATCGAATAATCTTCGGATGCTCTTTCACCGCCGCCACTTTATGCCGGGCGGTCGGTATCCTTGGCGTTCGCTGCGGTATTTCATTACCCTCTACTTCTACTTCTACTTCTACCTTGATGCCTATACTTCCATGGCCTATTGTGGTTCGGTGTGGACGGGCAAGAGCATGAGTACCATCGCAATGCTTCAATAGCTGGCTTGGATAGCTTAAGGTGCCTGATACGTGTGGACATAGACAGGGGACTATCCAGGCGTAGAAACTAGTCAACCGAAACAGGTCTCTCCAAGATATATCCAGATTATCTCGGTATGCACATGCTAAGCCCAGAAATGTCCCACGCAAAGGAATCCATGATTTCTATCCGTCTATGTATAATAGAAAATTCTGATAGTAATTTCTCACTTTTCCATTCAGATCATCATACCAATACCCCAAGAAGTAAGAATATCCAAGTCATGCTTAACAACAAAACCAGGCCGAACTCGGGGTAGGCCTGGTCTTATCACACTCGGTCGATACAGCCGAGGTTTATCTGAGTGACTGTCCATCTCCGCCTGCCGGACTCCGCACTTCCTCCTCTTCCTCCTCCCATCTTCACTCTACCCTACTCTCACCTTACAGCTTGCTTGCGTGATCACCATGGCAGACAAGCCAAAGTCGTCAATCCCAGAGTGGCAAAAGTCCAATGCCAGTTCGGAGAACAGCAGCACTGGCACCGCCGCCGCCGCCACCACCATCAACTCAAGCGCAGATGATAACGAAACCGAAGACCGCCCAGCGCTCCTCGATCAAGCCGCCAAGTTCCTCCAGGATGACTCCATTCGCGATGCCCCTCTCGACCGCAAGAGAACGTTCCTAGAGTCCAAGGGCCTGCGCAATGATGAGATTGAGCTTCTCCTAAGCCAGTCCCATGAGGAGTTCAGCACGAAGGAGCCGAGCAGTAACCCCGAGGTCGCCAACAACCACGAAGCTCCCAGCAGCAGCAGCAGCAGCAGCAACGCACCTCCACCACACACCTCCTCCTCAACAGCAACAACCACCTCGCCCACCCCACCACCCATCGCCAGCGCCAGCACCAGCACCTCCACCGCCACCTCCACCCCAGCGCCAGCACCCCGCGACATCCCCCCAATAATCACCTACCCCGAATTTCTGACCACGCCCGCCACGCAACCGCCCCTCATCACCCTACGCAGCACGCTCTACACCCTCTACGGCGCCGCGGGCCTCGCAACAACCTTCTACGCCGCCAGCGAATACCTGGTGAAACCGATGATCGCGCAACTGACGGCCGCGCGCCACGACCTGGCCGAAACCACCACCACCAACCTACGCACGCTGAACACGAAACTCGAATCCGTCGTCTCGACCATCCCGCCCCGCGACACCACCACCACCACCCCCCTAGCAAACCCCACCGAAGACGTCGACCAAGACGCAGAATCCATAACCTCCGACCCAACGGAACTCTTCCACCGCGACGTCGCCGTGCAAACCAGCCCCAGCCCGCTCCTCGAACCCACCCAACCCTCCCTCATCACCACGACGACAACCACCACCACAGCCACAGACGAAGAAACCCCAGCACCATCACCCCTCGAAAAAGCCCGCTCCCACACGGCCAGAATGCACACCCTGACGGCCCACCTCCGCTCCCTCACGGACACCGCCCAGTCCGCCGCGGAGCTCGACACCGCCCTGCGCGCCAAGCTGAATGACCTGCACCATTACCTGGATACCTACATCTACAGCAAACCCGGGGCCGGGGCCATGTTCAACCCCATGGCCGGGTATGGGGTGTTCAGTACCCCCGGGATCGAGTCCGGGAATACCACCACCGCGGGCAACGGGAATGCGGGGCTGGGGTTGGGGAAGGGGGAGGAGGATGCCATCGCGACCTTTCGGACGGAGATCCGCGGCGTCAAGGGGGCGTTGCTGAGCGCCAGGAACTTTCCGGCGGGTGGGGGGAGGGCGGGCGCTGCGGGGCGGGCTCTGGGAGGCTCGTCGGTTTTGGGGAGGGTTGGGCGGCCGGGTTCGGATTAGGTTTGGGTTTTTGCTTCAGGGGTTGAGTGGATCTTCAAAGGGAGAGGGAGGCCTGTTGAAGGAGGAGAGAGCAGATGTTGTAAATAGATAGTTTGATTGATGCCGATGTGGTTATACAATAGGCACCATACAACATACAATGTCAGCAAGTAATTACCTACGATCTACGTCAAGTAAAAAAGAAACAACATGTCTAACCCTCTTTTACTTCTACCAAGGCCGGACAAAGCAAAATATCAACATTGACAGCGGAATAATAAAGAAAAAGGGCGACCCCGTTGCCAGCCAAACCCCGCGTCGGCCGGGTCTAGGGCTTAAAAGTCCGGTACAGTCAAACAATTATAGGAAACTCTTGCCTTGTACATACAACTCATGATCGTCACATACTCAACCGTCACGGCGTGGCTTTGCTCATGCTGATCAAACGCTTCACTCCAACCTAGTGTCTCGATTAGCCTAGCGCGAAATGATAGTTACCAAGCATGACTTACCATCCAGTTACCGCACTCGTCCGTCCGGTTGGTCATGATGTTCACGTGGATCGCGCGCGCCGTCTCATAGTCACGTGCCTGGATGGCGTGAGCAAGCTGCGCCATGTCCGCAACCGTGTTAGGCTTCAGTAGATCCTCGTTGTTGAGATGGTCGAACAGAAGATTCAGTCGCCGTTCCGCATCGTCGACCTGCGCCTTGAACGAAGACGGGGCCCGCGACTTTACTCGCTGCATGTCCGCCGACAAGATCTCGTACACGGGCATAGCGTCGGCAGGGATGTGGGTGCGATCACCAGGGGCTGCGACCCATTAGTATTTCGTCCAACTTGACAGAAAGATCTACTTACGGTACTTGGGCGCCGCCGGGGCAGGCTTCTTCTGCGAAGAGGCCGTGCTGGGTCGGGATCCCGCAGCCTGGGGTGGGGGAGGCGCATGCTGTTGCATTGGTGGGGCAATGGGCGAAGGTGTGCTAGGAGCGTACTGGTTCGCTAATGATTGCATGGCGGGCTGAGGGGCATACGGGGAGGCAGCGGCCTGCGGAGGGGGAGGAACGGGCGCCCGCGTCTGGAGCTGGGGGCTGGCAGCTTGAGCAGCCGGGCTCGGTGCGTACCGATTTGTGGGGGGCGGCATCGTAGGAGGTGCGTTGTACGGCGAAGGGCCCCGAGGGATTGAAGCGGGCACGCCCATGGCCGAGGGGGGAGATTGAGGCAGGGAGGCATAGGGGTTGGCCGCAGGAGGAGGCATCGAGGAAGGCGTGGGAACGGCCGAGGGCGGCGACATCACTCTAGGAGGAGGGGCGCCGGCCTTGGGCGGAGGGGGGACGGAGGGAGTCCGGCCGACAGGTGCTCCAACTGGGGGAGGAGGGCCTTGCGCGAGGGTAGGAGACTGGTTCGGGAACGGAGCGCTGACAGGCGCGGAAGCAGCGGCAGGAGTCGACCGACGGGGCGTAGGTGCTTTAGCGAACCCCTCGGGCAAGTCATTCCACGCGGGCAGGTTGGTGGCCGTGGTGTACGTGGTGATGGTATTGGCCGGAGACTGGTTAGTCGCGCGTGGAGGCGGGGGCACAGTGCCGCCTAGAGGCTGAGCACCATAGGTAGGGGCTTGTGGCGGTTGATATCCGGCGGGAGTGTAGCCGCTGCCGGCGGTGGGGGGAGCGTACGGATTCGTAGGCTGGGCCGGTGCCGCAGCAGTCGGAGGAGCATAAGGGTTGACTGGAGCAGCGGTCGGGGGAGCATATGGGTTGGCGGCCGCAGCAGTCGGGGGGGCGTACGGATTCGAGGGAGCAGCAGCGGGAGCAGCAGGAGCATAAGGGCTGGGAACTGCAGCAGGCGCCACAGGCGAGAAGGTTCTTGTGGGCTGGTATCCACCCAAGGCAGGCTGAGGAAGAGGCTTGTTGAGATTGGGCCTGGTAGCTGCGCTGGTTGCAGTCTGCGTCCGTTGAGGAGCGGCTTGTCTCGTTGCCAGGCGGATGCGGTTTCTGGCAATCTCGGCCTCAGGGTGCTTCTCAGGCACAAGATCAAGGTACTTCTGTGCGACCTGCAGCCGTCCATGGGTAGCAACAACGTCGGCATACTCGATGTACTTGTCGTACAGCGTGCTGAGCTTCCAATCCGACTCCTTGGTACGCTCGGTGTCCTCGAACTTGGTGACCTGGCGGAAAATCGTCACCTTCTCAATCAGGCTCTGCAGAGCACGGACGTGGATCGAGAAAGCAGAGTCGTCAGCAGAGGCTTCAATGGCCTTCTGCTCACGCTCCCGCAACTCCTCAATCCAGATAGCAACAACCTTCTCCAACTTGGAACCGGCCAAGAAACAGAACGAGGCATCCTTGCGAAGGGCCTTGTCATCCGAGTTACGGAGCTCCTCCTCCAAGCGGTCACCCAAAGCATCGCAGAGATCCGCGAACTCCTTCTCGTCGGCAAAGGTGCAAAGAGCTGCCATAACCTCCTTCCAGTTGGACAAATCGGCGTTGTAGACAACATCCCAAAGGTTCTTGCCCACGATAGATGCGAGCAAACGCACGTAGTTCGGGCTGTTGGTTTGCTTAGAGAAGTAGTGCTCCTGGGCCTTCTCAATGCACTTCTGGCCTCCGCAGATGGCAATCATGAACGCATCCGAGAGACGATCCTCCTTGAGTGCGACATCAAGAGCCTTCTCGAAGTCACCGAGGAGCAACGCTCTGGTGATGCCAGTGTCCGCTTCGGTCTCCTCTCCGTTGAAGATGTGGAAGGGGTTGTTGGTCTTGGCGCCCTTGGAGGCAGCCAGGTCAGACAGGAAGTTATCCGCGTCCGCGCTTGTGTCGAAGACGGATTGCAGACGACGGTGCTTCTTGGCTCCCGACCCGCGGGAGTCCTTGGGCTCCTCGCCGTTGACTTCCTCATCATCTTCCTTGTTCAGACCCAGCTTGGCCAAGCTATCGGCAGCCTCGTCAGCCTGGTCCGCGAATCCGAGATACTCGACCAGACCCTTGCGAGGATCGGCCGAGATCAAGGCCTCAATGACCTTCCAGTCGGCCTTCTCCTCTTCACTGGTGGCGTTGGCAGCCCGAGTTTCGCAGATGTTGCGCAAATCACCCTCCTTGAGCGCGCTCTCAAAGGTCTCGGTCGACTTTCCAACCGCCTCATCAACTTCGAACGGGGTAATCTTAATTTTCGACGCACGCTGACCCTTCTCAACTAAGTTGACAGAGACGACTCTGCCTCCGAATCCAAAGGTTGCGCCACACGGCCGTTCCAGCCACTTGGGGGCCTTGGGCAGCGAGAAGCTGGAGACCTGGGGCTGAGTCTGGGCCTTGGCGAAGAAGTCCTCGCCATCGAGGGCCTGGTTCTGGTCGGCAATGGCCTGGGCAGTTTCGGTGCTGGTATTCTGGATGGTCTGGATGGCAATCTTGCCGTCGAACGAAGCGGTGGCGAAGAAGTTGGGGTTGTGAGGGTTCCAGCGCGTCTGGAAAGTCCAGTTTGTGACAACGGGGAACTCGCCGTAGGCGTGACCGGTCTGGGGGTTCCAGCAGAGGGTGCGGTTATCTTTGCCGGAGGAGAGGAGCAGATCGGGATCCTGGGCGCACCAGGATAGTGACAAGACGCCGGATTCGTGGCCACGAAGGGTTCTCTCCGGGGCGTGAGAGTTACGCAGATCCCACACACAGATCAGGGGGTCTGACTCGAGCGGTGTGGCCGTGACAAGTTTCGTGGGCTGGTGATGGTCAGCAAAACACACCCGCAGACAGTCACGGTAAGAGTCTCACCTTCTCCGGGTCCCAGGCCACAGCACTGACAGCTTTGCGGCCCATGTTGTTGAGCGTCAAGCTCTCCTTCTTGGTCTTGACATCCCACACGGTCACGAAGCCGGCACTGCTACCCGTGACCAGGATGTGTGCAACCTTCTTGTTCCAATCCAAGCACTCGATGTCATCTGCGCGGGCGGCCGTGCCTCCGAGTCTAGAGGGGTTCGCAATGTCGTTCAGATCGGAAATGTACAGCTAGTGGTAATCATGAGCTCCAACATCCATTGTTCAAACATATATGAGGGGGCATTGTACCTCGCCCTTGGCACCACCGGTGGCCAGCAAGTTGGAGTGTTTGGGGTTGAACTGGAGAGCCTTGATAGCCCCTGAGTGTTTGTTGGTCCTCGAGATGACGGCATCACTGCCCGGGCGTCAGCCAATTGGACAAACAACAACGCTATGGTAGGGACGACAGCACGAACCTGGATCCACTGAGCAGCTTATCGGCATCCCACAGATCCAAAGATCCATTCTCCAAGGCACCCGCGATCACACCCCGGGAGCTGTCCTCGGAATCCGTCCAAGCCAGGTCGTTGAAGCTATTCGAGCAAAAGAGTTAGTGTTTGCGTACAATCCCAAAGTATTGGAAAGCTAGAAAGCGCACCCTGAGTCAGTGTCGATCTTCGCTACCGGCTGCAGCTCGCCGCCGGCCTCGTGGCGGCTCAGGTTGAGATCCCAGAGCTCCAGACACGTTTGATTGGAGAAATCGACATCGACAGCGCCGGCGCGAGTACCCGTAGCAATCAATGGCGAAGCAGCTCCGGGAGACCAGGCAAAGGTGGCCGTCCGGGGGATTTCCCTCAGACGAACCATGGTGAAGGTGGAAAAGAGCGGCAGGGAAAGATGGAGGTATAGATTAGAAGGCGACGGAGCTGGCTATTGCGGGGGGGATTGTTGTTCTGGCCAGCAAATGAATGAATTGGATGCGGGGGGGGAAGAACTGGAAGAGGAATGGGAGCGTAATGGAAATCCGAGGAGCCAAAGTCGTGTAGGTAGGAGTAGAGAAATGAAATACTGAAATGGAAGAAAACCTCCCCTCTCTGACACAAGACAGGAGAAACCGAGGGGTGCAGGTTGCAGGTGAGAGTTGCCAAGTCGACTGGCTGGCGATTCGAGGCGTGACGGCAATCAACCAAGTGTCCTCCTCGGGGGCGCCGCTGCGACCGACCCGCTTAACCACTTTGGCCCCGGCATGGCACGTGATTGATATCAGCCTCTCTCTCTCTGTCTGTCTGCCTCTCCGCGAAAGTCTGCGCCCACTCTGAAGATCGACCGGGCAAGGAAGCTTGACAACCAAGCTTGAATATAATCCTATAAGCTGGGCCCGTGCCCCCCTAAAGCTCCCGTTTCAAGCAAATTTGTGGTCTATTCAGCGAGTACGGTTGTTCACACTCAAAATTACCATCCTAACCGCCCCGCAAAGCCGCAACCATGAGTGAAAAGGCTCGTTTGAAGTGTACCATCTATGTGGGGGGTCTGGATCAGGCCGTGACGATGCAGACGCTGGCGGAGGCATTTGTCCCCTTTGGCGAGGTCGTGGACATCACCCTGCCTAAACCCGACCTGCCCAACTCGAACGAATCCCACCGCGGCTTTGGATATGTGGAGTTCGACCTGCCCGAGGATGCGAAAGAGGCTATCGACAACATGGATGGCAGCGAGCTGTACGGACGTACGATCAAGGTCGCCGCCGCGAAACCGCAAAGGGAGAGCAACGAGGGGCTGGGCAGCAAGACCGCTATCTGGGAACAGGTATGCGACCAAATGGGACATCACATTCCACGAACCTACGAGCTAATCGCATTTCACTACAGGAGGGCTACTTGGCCAAATACGCAGTCAGCGAGGAAGATAGATTGGCCACAGAGCAGGCTCAAGCAGGCGCTAACGCAGAGACCGAAGACCCCATGCAAGGATTGGTAGAGATGGACGTTGCCGGCCCAAAGCCTGAATGAAATGCCCGGGACATCTTCTACACGCCACGCGGAGTGCATTGGCAGGGACACTTCAAAAAAAAGCCAGCTGTAACACTGCACGAGCACTGCATCAGAACCCTTCGATTTAAAGCCGTACTATATACACGCGCTGCAACCCTGAGCTTGAGATATGCCGAGCTTTTTTTCCGTCGGCATCCGCCGCGACACCATGCAATCTCCCTCTATCTCCCGTGGATAGTACAGATCGCCATCAAAACAAAACAAAGAATCGCCCATTGCAATTTGGAATCAAAGTGTGATGGTACATTCTCTAGTGCTCACGGGACTCGGGGCTGTTGCGGTACAGACGGAGCGTCTTGTCGGTCATGAGCTTCTTGGAGCTGGAGTAGATGGCAGCACCGACAGCGACACTGTGAGGAGAAGCGTTAGCGATGGCACGGTCTGGGAGGGTGAAGGGGGTTGGTGAGGAGGGGTCAGAAGAAGGAGATAGATCATGTTCGATCCGTGTGATGCAACAAGCCAATTGAACCAGGAACTACTATGCACATACCCCAAGACAAGACCTGTAAAGTGGGAGACATGATGGTTAGCCTATCTGTAGATACCACTGGACCATACTAGCGCACGAGAAGTACATACCAAGAGGGATCAACTCCGGAGGGATGCGCTTGAGGGTGCGCAGACGCTGGGAGATAGTGTGGGCTAGAGCTCTGTGTTAGTCCAATTGCAACTTCCAGAAATACACTCTTGCACGCTTCTAGGCAGGCGGCAATGGCGCATTGGGGGAAAGCTTCATACCGCTTTGGTTTTCCTTCTGCAACGTTGGTTAGCCATCATGCAACTGCCAAGCCCAATTTTTCCCGGCTCACAACCACGAGGGGGAAAAGGAAGAGAGAGAAGAAACTCACAGGAGTAGGAAAAGCGAAAGGCCGGGTGGCCTGCATGCGCATGATGGTGGTGGGATACATGGCGATTGATTGTAGGGTGAGAGGCCTGGCTGGAGGTGGGTTGGATGGGGGAGGGAGAGGAGAGGATGTGGTGACGGAAGTTGAGCTCATTCGGGCCTTGTGGAATGGGATCACGAGTTCCGATTCACGGCCTTGATGACTCAGGCAGCGAACTACCTCGAGATGACGGATCGGGGTGTTTAGGAAAGGTAGGCGCATGAGTGGCTCGCTACAGTAGGCGGTCAAGGCCGAACTTGGGGCCCGGCTGTACTGCAGTGCTTCACGGGATCATTCCACTCCACCGGCGCGCAAACCTCACCCCCATCTTTCTTTCTCCAAGCCCTCTCTCTTGCTTCCCTCCTCCTCCTCCTCCCCCTCCCCCCTCTCCACCACCCACCCTTTTCCTTTTTCCCAGTTTTTAGATTCCTTTCCAGGCTCTGTCCTTAGAACCGCCACAATGGGTGCCATTCCTGAAGCCGATCCCGATGAGCCCCAGGAGACCAAGCCCTTCAAGTTCGTGACAGGTGAGCTTTCCCAGACCCGGATAATCCGACCCATGCCTTTGATCCCCAATTGAGGTCAATTGCTAACTGTTACGCAGCCGGTACGTTTCTCTCCAGGTTCTTCGTTGATCCGATCGCTTATCGATGAACGATCCCGGCGGATTCCTCGTCATCGTGGTGGGCAAGCTGACTGACCAAATGTCTTGATGTAACGATATACAGGCTATGACGCTCGCTTCCCCCAGCAGAACCAGTACGTGATAAGCCAATTCTTTCCTTCACCTTTCGTCCAGCTTGATACTAATGCAATTGAATAGGACCAAGCACTGCTGGCAGAACTACGTCGACTACTACAAGTGTGTCAACGCCAAGGGCGAGGACTTCCGCCCATGCCGTCAGGTATATCGACCCCCCTCCTCCTCCTCCTCGGCTACCAAACCCGCAACTGCCCACCAGCACCAACACCACCAACACTACCAGCACAGCAACCCCATCACAGCTCCAGTACTAATCTGTCCATCATCACCAGTTCTACCACGCTTTCCGCTCCCTCTGCCCCAAGGCCTGGACCGACCGGTGGGATACCCAGCGCGGTACGTACTCTCATCCCCCCATCCCTCCACCTTTTCACCTTCAACAGCAAATCCCAAATACTAACCCATCTCAAAAACAGAGGCTGGAAACTTCCCCGCTCGCCTGGAGTAGAAAGCTAGAAAGTTGAACAAATCCATGTGTTAAAGTTTCCGTGTGCTTTTGTTTTCTTTTTTGGTCAAACAAATGTACTCTACTACCCTGATTCGGGGCCAAAACCCCCCGAATCGAACCAATCAAGCGGGAAATGTCTTTTCTTTTTCTTTTCTTACGTTTTCGTTGATTGGACCCGGACTTGTTTCACGTTCCTCGCATCTTCGGGTCTGAAATTGATCTAGAGGGAGCTAGCTGTATGGACATGGAAAGGTCGCGTAGTATGCACACCCAAAAAACCGAGAATGCGTTTAGCAGTATATGATCCCTGTCTATCGAATCTATCAGTCCATGTGCCTCTCATATCAGTCGATTGGAATTGTATCCCAGAAAGGATGATTAGGATGACGATATCGCTCACGGTACTCCGTTACCAGTGCCTGTGGCCGACATCAGATCCGGCGGACATCATACGATCCGGTCTCCCCCCCCCCTCCAGCCTCTCGAGATAATAGGTTTATACTGTACATCTTATCTAATTACCCCTATGAATTGCTTGGAGTCACATGCTCTTTGAGGTCTGCTTACTAGAATATTCCTTCCTCAAATATGAAATGCCTTATTGCAATAGGAATCGACCCCAAGTGCCTGCTGGAGTATCCGAGCCTTCTTGGCTAGGAAGCTGCAATGCCTCTCCACATTATTTCAGGGACAGTCGAGGCTGAATACGAAGCTATCTCCTTTACTGCATACGTTTGTGTTCAACAGTACCGAGAAACTCCAAACCACAACTTGCAATCTAAAAGCCTCTATGTGTCTATTGTAGATCTCATGTCTAGTCTATCTCAAATGACGAATGCCACGCTCTCACTCACACGATCCCCACCAAGCATTATACAAGAAACTACGTCCCACCCAAATGCTTCTGGCCTCACCTCCATCTGATCCGGGACTAGAAGGAATAGAGCGACACGTGTAGGGGGAGGCACTCACAGCCACCGAGGATACTCGGCCATCTGCAAGCACAAGTCCAGCACAAAAGAGAGAGAAAACGATATTATGTACAAGCGATATATGCCCGCAGGAGAAATGAACACGTTGTACAAAATGAAAACTTTTAGCCACCCAAAAAAATCACAATGCTTCGCCAAAACCCCAACATGAACAAGATGAAGGACAATGATATGCTAGACAGATATCCTAGCAGAGATTGTATCGTGGATATCAAAGCGGTGTATAGACAGTCCCAGATATGACTGGGAAAGAGAGGATGAAACGAGAAAAAAAGCAGAGGAAGCGGAATTACCGCTTCTCCTCCGGGATCCCCTTCACCCACCGGTAGAGCTTCTTGTGCTCCTCCAGGAAGATGAAGGTGGCAATCGTGTGCGGGCCCAGGCGGATGAAGCTGGGCACCCAGCCGCGGAAGGCCCAGGCATAGCCCTCCTTGCGGGTGATCTCGCGCAGCAGGCTGGGGATGCTCTGGCTGTGGCCGTGGCTGGCGGTCATGACGCGGGTCTTGATCACGTCGACGGGGCTGCAGACGGTGGTGGCGACGAAGCCGGCCATGAACGAGGCCGCGAAGTGCGTGCCCAGGTTGTCCGACATGCCGATGCGCTCGATGCACAGCTTCTTGAAGGTGTCGTACGAGGCCAGCTGCGAGGCGGTCATCAGCACCGCGCGCGTCGAGTTCGGCCACACGCCGCGGAACAGGCTGGCCGCGCCCTCGGTGCGCGTCATCTCGACCAGCCCGTGGAAGGCGTGGCGGTAGTTGCGGCGCTGCGCCGGGGGCAGCGCCGCGTCCGACTGCATGCGCACATTCAAGACGTCGGCCGGGTTGCCCGTCCAGCCGCCGATGAAGCCCGAGGCGCACGCGATGCCGATCAGCGTGAAGAAACTGGGCGTCGACCCGGGCGTCGTGAAATAGTTCTTGAGTTCCTCGTAGATGCCGAACCGAGTCGTCGAGTAGGTCACCTGGCGCAGAAGCGCGGCCGACAACTATAACGCCCCCCAAAACCACCCGGAAATTAGCCAATTTGTCCCAGACAACCCTTCTCTCAGATCCAAAAGCCGTAGCTAGAGAAAAGAAAAACGTACCCCGCTATACAAGCCCCGAACACCATCGGTTTTAATCACATGTCCAAACGTTCCCACCATGGAGGTAGGCGCTCCAGGCCCGCGTGTTTGCAATCGAACCTAACAAAAGTTTCCAATTTTCGTTAGTACACCGGAAATCCTCAATTAGTGTTCGCGATAACATCGCCCGAAAACACTAGACGAAACGAAACACATGAACCGGGGGAAAAAAAGACATTGTTGCCAGTGACGCTGAAATATTAACGGGAGCGCAAAATTTACCTTAACTGTAGGTCACCACCAAGAAAAAAAAAAGTCAGTCACCCAGCATCATCAATCAATAAATCCGCCACCAGAGAGCGCCCAAACTTACCAAGGTCCAGAGGGTGTGTGACGGCGGCCGCAAAGCAAGAGGCCGAACCACCAAACCAAAAAGGATAATGGATCTTCTTTGCAGGGACCGGAGCGGCAGCCGCTTGAGGAGTAGGAGGCTGTTGGGAAGCCTCCAGCTTCGCACTGCTGACCATCGTGGACATTCCGCGAGGGCGATATGGAGAAACGAAAAAGAGAGGGGAGATTTTGGGAGAGGAGAGGAGAGAGGAGAGATCCAGTCGTAAAAGGAAGGACGAAGGAGAGACTGAAGAGAGAGTTTCTGCTGCTGCTGCTGCTTCTTCTTCTTCTTCTTCTTCTTAATAATACAGGGAGTAATCCGGTACAGCGACAATACGAGAAGAAGAGATTCGGGCTTCAGATCAACTCTCCGAATTCCAGGGTTGTTCGGCTGCACTAACCGATCTCGGCCGTGGTGCACCAATCACAGTCTCGGTTTAGACGTCGGACCAGCGGGCCAGGCGGTAAGGCCGGCCCTCGGTGTTCTCTCGCCAATACAACAATACAACAATACATCCTACCTATGGAGCACAAGAGGAGCTGAGCTGATGGGATGAAATGACAAGATATCGCCGAGAAAGACGAGATTAACCAGATTGCCCAGACTGCTAGTGTTGTAGGAAACACAAAGGTAAACCAAGCAACCAATGCCCTCACGAATGCAGCCATCCCCTTCCATGTCTCTACCCGGCTGTGCTGCGCTGTACTGTGCTGCAATCGATCTGCTACGTCACAATGCATACCGCCCCTGCAGGCAGTTAAATCCAACCACTAAGCAGCAGTACAACACCAAACGAAATGTAGTTTGAATGCTATCATGGGACCCCTAGCCGGGAACTTGAATTCTATTCAAGAGGAAAGAGGTCATATCTTTTGTTGTTGTACAAGCCAAGATCTTACATACACCCTATCATACAGACACGCATCCGTTTGCCTTGCCGTCATCAGGCACCCAATCTATCTATACCTATACACATTACAGACACCCCCTATCCTGGTATATCGAACAACGACTACCGCAGCTCCACCCCCAGCTGGCCAACGAGCTCTTGGCGCAACTTATCGTGGAGATCATTGGCCTCCGCGTTGGTGAGCGTGCGCTCCAGACTCCGGTAGTTGATCCGGTAGCACATGCTCTTGCGCTTGGTCTTGGGGTGCGTGAACTCGTCGACCAGACGCACATCCTCCACCAGATCGCCCGCAACCCCACGAACCAGCTCCATGATATCATTCTCATGCACGGGCACGGCGCCGCCCGCCGCACTCCCGCCACTGGCCGCCCCCGGGGGCAACCAGAAGGCGACATCCTTGTAGCAAGCGGGGTACTTGGAGAAGGGCTTGAAGCGGGTGATCTGCCCGGCCCGGAACTGCGACAAGAAGCGCTTGTCCCGCGACCAGAACAGTCGGATGTCGGGGATGTTGAACAGGAGCATGGCGATGCGCTCCAGGCCGATGCCGAACGCCCACCCCATGCGGTTCGGCACGTCCGAGTTATTCAACAGCTCCTGCTTGATGACACCGCAGCCCAGCACCTCCAGCCAGTCGCCCTGCCAGAACACCTCCAGCTCCCAGGAGGGGCTCGTGAAGGGGAAGTACGCCTCGACCCAGCGGACCTTGAGGGGCTCGGTCTCCTCCCCGGCGGCGGCCGCGGCCTTGCTCGCCTCCGTGAAGATCGTGATGACCATGCGCTCCAGCGACCGCTTGAGGTGCGCGGCGACCTCCTCGACCTCCTCGACGCTGTGGAACTCGGCCTGCAGCGGGTTGCGCTGCGGGTGCACGGTGGGGTTCGGGTCCTCGACGACGACGTCGTGGGCCGGGATGCGCTCGACGTCCGCGCGGATCGCCGCCGCCGTCGCGCGGGCATGCTGCAGCGGCTCCTGCGCGGGCCGCTTCCACAGCATCGCCCCCTCCATCTGGTGGAAGACCGGGTAATGGCTGCGGTCGATGGCGTCCCGCCGGTACACGTCCGCCACCACGGTGTAGCCCACCTCCTCCGGGCGGGTGCGCTCGTTGCGGCTGATCTGCTGGAAGTACGCCTGCTGGTGGGCGCTCGTGTGCGTGCGCAGCACCAGCTTCTCGCTGAGGTAGTAGGTGTCGGTGCGGCTGCGGCCCGGGTGGTCCGCGGGGAAGCCGAGCACGTCGAAGTTCTCGGCCGTCGTCACCACGGGGTTCTCCTCGGTGTAGTTCCCGTACGTGGGCCCCGGGAACTGGCTCTCGATCAGCTGGCGCGTGATGGCCAGCGGGTGGTTCTCGTCCAGGTATAGCCGGCGGCCGACGTGCGAGAGGATGGTATCGGTGACGTTGGTCCATTCGTCGCGCTCGTACGATTGCGCCTCAGTTGCCAGGGCTTGTGCTGCAGAGCCACCGGCGATGGCGCCTTTAGTGACATCGGTAGGTTTCTCGTTCGTTCGGCGAACGGCCGTGAAGCTCCATTCGCGGCGCGGGATGGTTGACGGCGCCGGGAGGTGCGAGAGCGGGATCCGTAGGTGCCTCCCAGAAGAATAATTGATGGCCCACCTGCTGCTGCTGGCGCGCAGAGCCCGGCCAGTGGCTAGTAAGCGCATCTCTAGAGTAGGTGCAATGGAGCTGCACTGAAGACTGAGCCAGTGCGTCGTTGTCGCTGGCTAGGTGATTCTCTCACGGCGGTTTAGATCGTAGTGTACAAAACATGCCGGGGCGGGAGAACCACGGCCCGAGCGGATTCCCCCAAAATCATCCGGTCATTCTACGTTGTGCAAGACTGCAAGTTGATGATCAGGGATCAGTGAAACTCAATTGACTGATCATCACAGCTCAATCAAAATCATCGCAAGCCATGGTATGAAAAGTGGTTTCAGAGTAAAATACGAAGCTGTCGTGTCTGCGGCCTTGCCATGTCTTCTAAAATATAATACCATCTACGCATTTCCGAGGAATCAACATGCCTGTCATAACGTCTTTGGTCCATTCGGCCAAAAGACTGTCTATTAGACTTCATAAGTACCCTGCATTGCCATGACGGCAAGAGGGCGATGCAAAAAAGTCATAACATGATCCGATGCCCTGCAGGCATAACCCGCACCCGTTTCAATGCCAGTCCCAGCGTGATAATATCACTTTTCAAGAGAAAAGAAGAAACAAAGACACCGACCATTGCGTGTAATATACATAATAGGGAGGAGAGAGTCGAGAAAAGAACGCCAATCCAAAAGAAATCAGATCATTGACAAGCGCACCGGGAGAAAGCTCAGGCGACACCAGTCGCGAAGTAAACGGTGTATCATACACATGCGTTCGTAGACAGGGAAAAAAAGCGACAATCGCCGGATCATGGTTTTCCGGCGGCATGCTCGGTTGGATGAACCATCGCATTAGAATTTAGGTGAACCCCCTATCGCGGCGGGAAGAGATGTGGTGTATTATACAGGTTGAATGAGGGAGGAGTGATTGAAAATTGCGATGGTATTCGAAGGGGTCATGGAGATGTTTAGTTGTTCTTGACAACACCGACCTTAGCAGCCTGGAGAAAACGAAAACACATTAGCATCCCTGGTTAAGACAATTTGTTGCTGGAGGTCACATACTCTAAGGACACGGCCGTTCAGACGGAAACCCTTGCTCTGAACAAACATGATCTCGCCGTCCTCTTTGCCCTCGACCTTGGTCATGAACACGGCCTCGTGGACGTTGGGGTCGAACTTCTGGGCCGAACCATCCTCAGCGGGAGCGCTGGGGTCGAACTGCTCGAGGCCGTGCTTCTTCAAGGTGCCCATCAAGACGTTCTGAGTCATCTTCAAGCCCGAAACAAGGTCCAACAGGTCCTTGTTGGCCTCGGTGGGGGCGGCCTCGAGCTTCTCCTTGGGAACGGCCAGCATAGCACGGTCGAAATTATCGATACTCTCGAGAAGGTCCTGAGCGAAGCGCTGGATGGCGAAGTTGCGAGAGTTGTCCATGTCGCGCTTGGTGCGCTCCTGGAGGTTGATGAAGTCGGCCTTGGAACGAAGGTATTGGTCCTGTGAGATATTAGACCAGGTGATCTCGGCATTTCATAGCTCTTCCGCGTAAGGAAATGTCCATTATGACTCGTGATATCCGCCCAGCAGGGTAGGTGGCAATTACCTTTAGGCCGATGATCTCCTTCTTTTTCTCCTCAAGCTCTTTGCGGCAAGCATCCTCACCCTCCTCAGCGGCGCCGTTTTGCTCGCCATTCTCGGCCTTGTTCTCCGTCGAATAGAGGCGTGCGGCAGACTGAGAGATCAGGGGACGAGCGAACTGAGGAAGCTGGGGCTGTTGCGCCGTGCGGCGGACAGCTGAGGTAGCTGGTGTCGAGCGGACGGAAAGCAGGGACCGCTGGGCCTGTCTGAGGAAGGTTCTTTGGAACATGTTGAGCAAGGGAATATGGCAAATGAATGCTGCGGTGGATGGAAAGAATGGAAGCTGAAGCTCAAGCAAATTTGAAGTGGTGAAGTATGAACGAGATCGGCGATAGTGATGGAAAAAGCAGAAGTTTCGCCCGTGCCGGCGTCACCTGACTGTCCTGAGCAGCGATATCCGGATCAACATGCGGGCCGACAATCGGCTCTCATCGGTTAGTGATCGATCTATAGGAGGATGCGGAGTCCTCATCACTACGTTAACGTTATTTATTACTAGGAAAGACCATCACTTCGGCCGGATCAAGACATAATTATATTGTCATTCTTTTGCGAACCGTCCAATCGTCGTGACACGGAAAAGGAGACCTCCAGTGACATAAGGTTTTGGCTTGAAGCATAAATTGTCGAGGCACGCTGCTGCAACTGATTGCCCGCCGAGGGTTGACCGTGGCCACGATGGCGGTTGCATATGACATTCACTACCTTGTTTAGCGTCAAGCAAGCTACCAGTTAACCGAGGATTGCCTGAGTCAATTTAGCCCAGAACCCTCCAACTATACGTAGTATAGACGCAGAGACGAGTGGGCGGCGTGCAAATCCAATTCCTCAAAAGAGCTGGATGCTCCTTGTTCTTTGCCCCCTCCCCCCTCACCAGCAGCAAGTTATTCCTGACCCGTTGGTACAGTCTCCCGGTATATAGTTCCGGGTCGAACCCACCCAGGTAGCTGCCAAAAGGGTTATCTTTCATTTCTCTGTGACTGCAATTGTCGACCCCATATCAAGCGTTCCTTCACCATGCCCTTAGAATTGAATCCCGCATTTGCCGAGACTGCCGACCCTCTCCTGCAGATATTGGCCGCCAGTCCAAAGCACGCAGTGCATGATATCCACGCTCGCCGGATAGGTATCACTGCCCTGTATGATTCCGTCTTCGCGACATTGCCCTATGCCCGGGGAGTAGAACGGACGGTTCACCAAGTCCGGTCCTATGACGGATGGCTCATTTCCGTCAAACGCTACTATAAGAAGAACAACTCGTCTCCGGGACGTGGCCCAGCGATCTTCCACGTGCATGGAGGGGGTATGATTCAGGGCACGGTTGATCTGTTCGACAAGGAGCTCGCCCTGCAAGTCGAGAAGAGCAACATGCCGATCTTCTCGGTGGATTACCGGCTGGCACCCGAGTGTCCGCACCCAACACCACTTGAGGATTGCTATGCTGGACTGGCGTGGCTCCATCGGCAGGCAACCCAATTCCGGGTAGACAACAGCCGCATTGCTCTCATGGGGGAGAGCGCCGGGGGGTGCCTTGTTGCGGGCATTGCTATGCTGGCCCGGGATCGGGGCTTATCCCCGCCTCTCGCGAAGCAGGCTCTGTTTTGCCCGATGTTAGATGATAAGAATACTGTCCCAAATCCTGCGCTGGAGCCTTTCGCTACATGGACTTACGAGGACAATCTCACTGGCTGGACTGCCCTGTTGGGACAAGATATCGGGACGGACAATGTCTCGCCATACGCTGCGCCTGCCCGAGCCACCAACCTGGAAGGCTTGCCGCCAACGTACATCGACGTAGGCGAGCTGGACATCTTTCGTGACGAAGCTATCGCCTTCGCGGCGAAGATCGCAGCTGCCAATATCAGCTTGGAATTGCATGTGTACCCGGGTCTGCCTCATGTTTTCGAGATCTATGCACCAGACTGTGAACCCTCTCAGAGGGCCCTCGAAAATCGATCCAAGTTCCTTGCCAGCCTATAATGCTGCATGCGGGGACTCGGATGGCGTGTTTATGCCACTGAGAACCGAGTCGTTTGACCAGACCGGCCATAATCGATGGGGAATAACACGTGTATTGTGTGTACACTTATTTGAGCGATGTGGAATCGACTAGAATGGATTCTAGGTTGGCTGTCGAGAGAGTGCGTCATTCGGAAGAGCGGAGTGGCTGAGCGCCAGATGCAATACAAGATGGTCAGAGCTCCGAGCTAAGCCATGAGGGTGTATGTAGGATATCAGTCCAACACGGTTACTGTAGGCGGAACAAAACTGTACGTATGTACTAGGACAAATGATTGAGGTCACTCGAGCAACTGACGTCGTTTATGGAAGTAAGTCAGTAGAGGCACCCAAAGGTATAAGCCTTGTGCAGGCGACGTAGGTAGACGCATAGTTCTCTGAGCACACACATCAGCCCCCCTGTTGGACATGATTCTGAAGTGTCTCAAAGTGTAGATAAGGTTGGTTAGACTATAGTTCGATACGGCCTAAAGTATAGAGGCTCTGTTGATGGTGACATTAGGCGTGACTTGACTGGTGAGGCTTGGAATGCGGCAGCATACATGCATGAACAATCCCAAGAGCGGGGGTCACTCTACTTTACCTCGGAGCCAAGCTCGAAATCTTGCCTGCCTGGAGGACTTGGACACTTTAGTGATATATCGACTGCTTGTGGAGTGGTCCCCGGGGGCGGAGCATCAGCCGCTGCGGATGGCAGGCTGCTGGCTGGTTCTGGAGTATGTGGAGAAGGCGACCATCCCGTGGAACGCTGTCCCCATTCAGATTGAATTGTAGTATCTGTAGAGCAGAACCCGGTATAGATTCGATAGCAGAGCTCAAATCGACAGCATGTGACAGTCAATTAAACTGCTCCGACTTATCGTAGTTTATCAGTATCCAGTGATATGTTCTCTGCCCGATCTTCGGGGTTGGCTGCAGGATCCAGTCCAGGCTTCACCTCTAGGATGATCCATCCATCCGATAACCAATCCAACAACAGCGGCTCAATCGACGACCGCTCGGATGATCTGCAGCAAGGAGAACACATATGCAACATCGTCATCACAATTATTGATGGATAACTGAAGGAAGGAATCGAAGGTGGCAACCAAAAGCGGTGCAAGTCTCCTCTTCAGCCACACGGGTTCGGCGAGACCGTGGCGAGTATTGAAAATGCATGCAGAGCCGATCGCCAGGAACAGATCCAGATCCAGAAGGGCCGTCTCCGAGAAGAGACAAGGACAGTGACTTAGGTTACTGGAGTTGTACACACGTAGTGTAGACTAGAGTAGAATAGGAGAGTCGCAATCCAAGCAGGCAGTGCAAGTTGCGGGCATCTCCACTCTCCGTTCTCCGTTCTTTGCGTGTTGCTGCGCCTCGCTCGCCCGGCAAAGCGACGGAGGCGGACGAGGACAACCCCAGCGATTGCAACAATTGATTGAATTGATCCTATAAAAGAAGCGTTCAGCACGCATGCAGACTCTCCATCCTGACTGGCACAACCAACCGAGAATTCTCTGAAGCAGTCTCCAATCAGAGGTGAACGAGGGAACAAGGTTGCTTACGAGTTGCTGTACTCGTCTCTTGCTACTTCCACTAAGCGCTTCTCTTATCTCCCCGAGTGGCAATCAACCACAACCTCAGCTCTCTCTATATCAACCACTGCTCTCCTCCTCAATCAAACCCATTCAACCACAACCACAACCACAACCACACCCAGAAAAAAAAACATTCAAACAAAATGAACTACACAACGCCCCCACAGTCCCTAACCTCCTCCCCATCCCTTTCAACCTCCACAACAACAACCACCAAAACAACCCGACCAACCCTCTCCCTCGACCTCAGCAACCTCCCGGCCCTCAGCCAACCAACAACCCCAACCAACACACTGATCATCACTGATCTAAACGACCTCCACCTCTTCGATCCCCCCTCCCTAACCGCCCTCCGCACCACTCTGAACAACCTCGCCCCGCTCAACTCCTTCTCCCCACTGCCCTCGCTGCGCCGCCTGCTCTGCTCCTTCCACACCGACAGCGACGCCCTCTCCATCCGCAAACTCCTCTCATCCACCGAGCAGACAAACCCCCTGAAAGCCCACACAGCCACCCACTCGGCCAGAACCGTCCACCCGAAGGTCTACTTCGGCGAGCCCACCCCGCTGCAAACGGGCCACGACGCCCGCCCCAAACTCCTCGCCGCCCCGCAGGTCGACAAGCTCTTCTTCATCAGCCCCCCGCCCTCCCCGCCCCACGGCTGGGTCCTGCGCCAGGAAGACCCCCCCAACAAGGAAGTCCACGCCAGCGACCTGGCCCACGCGCTGGCCAAACTCAACACGGAGCTGTCGGCCGTCGGGGAAGCAACAACAGCAGCAACAACAACGACGGCGCCGGAAACTCCGGTCTCGGCGGTCTCGGAGAAGCTGCCGCGCACGGGGAGCTGGCCCGCCACGACCACCAATCGCCGCAGCCGCAGCAGTACCCTGATCTACCACCCGGAAGATCACGGGGGTAGTCCCGGTTTGCCGGCTGTGATGGTCGAGGATATGAGCGAGATGGGAGGGTTGTTGGTGGATGATGTTGATGTCGACGGGGATGAGGATGTCGAGATGTGCTCTAGTCCCGTCGAGGAGGAGGGCATGTCCGTCAAGCGCATGCCGCCGAAGACGGCGCGGCCCCCGGTCGAGTTGATGTGATTTTTTTTGGGACCTTTTGGGATTCATTTTTTGGTTGTGAAGAGAGAAAGAGGTGCTTGGATATATTGCTTGCTCGTCATGAATGGTGTTCGGGATGGTTCTGGCGTTGAACACAGTTGGTATTGTTTTCTACGGGAATGGGCATCATGGCGTACAGTACGCATTGTATATACTATTTGCATTGGGGTTGCGACACTTTTTGGTATTTCCATCTCTTGTTTTTTATCGTTCACCTAATTCACACAGAATGGTGTTAATATCATCTTCTTATCAATGCTTTCCGTCTATAGTCATCTACTATGCTCTTGCAGATCATTACACTAACCTGAGCCCCGCACAAGGCAGATACAAACGCTACGGCTCATAGCGAACCCAGTAATTGGTTGGATATCTGTTCATTTGGATTTGTATGTGATGTGGTGTGGTGTTCTTATGTAAATATGTGTTTAAGAAAAATCAGAGACAAGACATGAGAAGAAACCAAAGCAACAAAACACCCCCGTTGCACGCCCTGACCATGGAAGAACTTCTTTTGTTACCATGGAATATGAAAGAGAAAATAAGAAGAAGACAAAAGAAAATTTCAATTCCCCGAGGTGAGCAGAAATACCCGTGATAAACTCCGTCCGCATGCTGGAAATAGTATCAGAAAAGGTTGGCGAGAATATGATGTTGGTGGTTGGTTTGATTCGCCTTCGGAGAGGAGGTAGGGATGACGATGAATTGGTTGGGCTAACAGGCTGTCGAAGTCTCGGTGACCAAAGACAACCCTGCCGGGTAGACGCAGCTATTCCCAGGGAAAGTCGGCTCAACGGACAGCAGAGCAATCCAGCCCTCACATCTCACATCATCTCCATTCCACCTAAAACCCATAGCCACCGCCATAAGGCGTGACACCGTACGGCGTGGCAGCACTGGCTCCCCACGCACTGGCACCGCCACTGGCATAGGCCGTGAACCCGCCATCAATACCCTCCGGCGGCTCGTAGGCATCCGGGCTGCGCATCATATCATCGTCCTCACCACCCATCATGCCGCCACGATCCGCACCGCCATCACCCGAGCCAGACAGCGACGAGATGACCGAGGCCAACTTGCGCTGCAGCACAATGATACTCTGCTGAATGATCATATCCGGGTCAATCATGCCGATACTCTCGACGTCGATGTAAAAGTTGTTCGGCTGCGCGTCGTAGTCAAAAGGCTGATCGGGAGGGTTGGCGTGTTCCCATGCCGAGTTCTGCGAAATAGGCCTGTCCGACAAAACGGCAAAGTAGAATAATTAGCCGAGATCTTCTTTTCAGAGATCTTCTTTCCTATCGTCCTCCTTCAAGAATAATCCTCCAGACAAGGGAAGGGAAACATACCACTCCTTCGCCGCATCCTCCTCATACCAGTAATCCACATGGCGCAGGTTGTTGTGCGGGTCGTACTCGAAGCCCACCGCGGCCGTCGGCGCCCACTTGGCATGCTCCTTGGCGATCCCCTTCTTCGCGATGCAGGTCATCTTCAGCTCCTGGCCCCGCCGCAGTTTACAGATCAGGGGCCCTTTGCCCTCGGGGTCCGTGATCACCGGGTTGCCCACCCACTCGTTGGCCCGCTCGCCGCTGACGGCCAGGTCCCGCGCGTAAACGCGCATGATCTCGTCGCTCGTGCAGCGCGCGTGCAGGGTCAGCGTCACGCTGCAGCGGGAGCAGCGGTCATCGCATTCGCAGTCGCGCGTGTACTCGACGTCCTGGTCGCAGTTCTTGGAGTTGAGCGGGATCAGCCCCAGGCGGTGGGCCAGAAACTCGTCCGGCAGCACCGAGGTGTTCTTCTCGACTTCCACCAGGTCGATCGCCATGGTCGGGATCTCGGCGAGCATGGTGCGGCGGATCGAGTTGGCGAAGGCTAGGTCGACGGAGCTGAGCTTGAAGTCCACGCGGTAGGGCTCGGCCTGTGGTATGATGGTCAGTCATTGTGGGGGATGGTGGTAGGTGAGCTTCTTGGGGGGGAGCAGATTGTGGTGGTGTTGCTTTGTGATGTGCGGTGAGAATGGTGTTGATGGATGGCGACTGCAGGTTGCTCACCTCGCGGACGGTCACTTGGGGCCCGGTGGGCTCGATGTCCATTTCGTAGTCCATGATGATGATTGTATGTCTGCTGGCGATGAGGCCCAGAGTGATGGCCACACACACCGGAAGAGTTATGGTTCAGTGGGGAGGAAGTTGAACTGGAGATGGCCGCGATGAGGCAATCAGTTCGAGAGAGACTTGGAGAACTGAAAGGCGGAAGCTGAGATGCGCTTGACCCGATCGGGTAATCTCCCCCTGCAGCTGAGCCTGATGATAGGATGACACGTGAAGGCACGCTGTTTATCCAGCTATGAGATACTTGACTCATTACACTAATTATATGTCTAGTATTCATGTATGAGGTTGCTTCGCTGAGTCTCGCTTTATTAAACAACTGTCAAGACAGTTTTCAATGCATCTGAGTCAATTCCGAGGTTGTAGTGACCTCCATGCAACACCACCTTGCATCATTAGTTATTTCCGAAGGCTTCTATAGATACACACTCAGATGAAAAATCAAACAGCTATTATTGTATGTGAGCCCATGCTGGGCGGACTTTATAGATGTGAAGTGCCCTGAGCGCACAGGTCTCAACCACGAGCAAGATGATATTGGTATCCAAAAGAGAAAGCCAACTCCAAGCAAAGGATCCCATCCCAGACCATGTCTCGATGACAGTAACTTTTTGCCCCATCCGTCAGCAACACGGCCGTACTCCTCTAACAATCTATACTGCCGCTTGCTCGTGAATTCTATAAGGGTGTGAAAAAATAGCAAGGACGGATCGAATGGACTGGATAGGCCATATTCGCGCATCTCAGAAGATCATGTTCGCAAGTCATGCGCAGAAGCCCCCAGCTGTCATCCGATCGAGTCCAGAGGGGAAAAAAAAAGGGAAAGAAAAGAAGAGATTATAAAGACCCAAAAGCATTACAGCCAACCGGGGGTAGGGAGTTCAAGCCAGTCAATGCAAGTAAAAAAAAAAACAGCTTTTCCTTGGCTAGATCATTTCAGGTCGTCATGGAAGCTTGAAGCTTCTTTGCGGAAAACGAAAAGCCATCGCTACCGCCGCATGGAGCTGCGATTGAGCGCTTCCAAAAGCTCGGGTCTGCTGGCCAGAGCATCAGCAGCCTGCTTATAAGTAACCCATTGCCGTTTTCGCTTGTGCATCTCGGGCCACTGCTCCTCTTCGCGATCCACGGTCACCTCGAAGAACTGGTAGGACGCCTTGGGTGCTGTGGTTGACAATAAAGTCGAAGGGCGCATGTCGGGTATTTGCCCCAAGTCCTTATGCACCGTGCATATTACTCCGGCCTCTTCCCAGGCCTCTCTGCAGGCGGCTTGTTGAGGGCTGTTCTCGTCCGTCTCCCAGCCGCCTTTGGGAAGGACCCAGCCGCCGCGCCCTGCGGACTGGATCATCAAGACCAAAGTCTTGTCCGCAGACAACGGCACGACACCGGCCACTAGCCGTTCGCCTTTCGGACCGTACCCTAGAAGCACAGACACCATTAGCAGGGTTGCGCAAAACCATAGGTGGCAAAATCGCGGGGAGAGATATTCATAGGGTAGAAGAAAGAGTATCAAGAAGTAAATTGTAAAAGGGTCAACGTGCCTCCAGGGTAGATTACTCACGTTGGTTTTTGCGTCCCACGCGGGACTCCATTGAGCGAGGTTGTTCCGTCATGATGGACCAACTGTAACTATAGAATGGAAAGAAAGATGAGGCACTTTAAGACCACTCCACACAAGAAGTCTATATAGTGGAGAGAGAGCGTGGGCGACTGTAGTAGGTCGTTCCTGGGCTTCACGCGACACTCGTGTCAAAGAAGGAAGAGGTTCGATGCGACTGGGCAGAGAGACAACGACCAATGACACTGACTTGGGACGACCTGTCAGTGCTGGAAGTGACGCAAAATACTTCGAACAGTGGAAGTAGCAAAAGAGAGGTCCAGCCTGGTGTACGAGAGCTGGCGAACAACCTCTCGGTCGAGTTTCTTTTCCTTAACGCGAAGAAGCGGAACAAGCGAAGCGGGTCGAAGGGAAAGGCGGGATTTTTTTTTTCTTGCGAGAGCAAAGAAGAAAGAAAAAAGAGCTTAGAAGAGAGAATCAGGAAAATCAGGTATCCCCGTTCACTCCCGCAACGGACGGGAACGTCGAAGAGGATGAGTGAAGACAAAAGCACATCATAATCGGAAGGACAGCGAAGAAATAAGGAAAGGCGGATTTAGGAGGGAAAGTGGACGGAGGGAACGGAGCGAACGGAGGCAGAGGGGGG